TGTTTTAAGATCAGCCAAATAAGGGTTCTTTTTGAATAGTTTTAAATGTGTTGGCTCAATACTTTTAAAGTGTTAACATTGTTGACAGAGATTCAAGGGGCTATCCAGTGTTAAGATGTGTTATGTTGAATGGAAATCATGTTACTTACTTTGTACACCAACACTTACCATGTGACATCGAACCGTGAATATTTCCTTTTTGTTTTATCAGTTGTCACAAATCTACTGATTAATTCATTTAAATTGATTCCTATGTATGTCCATAATATTGGGCTTGATAAACAGAAGTTATTTAATTGCTTTGATGGATCTGCTTTTTTTATTCGTCAACTTCCCTGAATTCCTTTTCATCATATATGTTAATATATATATTGTTGCTTTGTATCGTAAACTGTAGGCTGCCAATGTTGTAAATTCAGTAAAAACTCGTCCTCGTGTCCTATCATTGTATCGGCAAATATTTAGAATTGCTCGAATATGGCAAGCAAACTCTGGTTCAGCCGAAGATTCGTCACGCCAAGCTGATTATATAAAAGAGGAAGCAAGAACTTTATTTCGTCAAAATGCACATATTACAGATGAGATAGAAATTGAAGTAAGAGATGTGATCTTTCTTAACTCTCACTTTTAACACTATATTAGTTTGAGCAAGGTCTTGACTAATTAAAGTGACTTACGAAATTGATTACCTCCAGATGTAAATGTTTATTTTCATTAATACTTTGCATAAGAGAATACTATTTCGTTAGAAGGAAGTCCTCTCTAATGGACAGCTGTTTTGTTGGTTTGTAATCATTTGGATAACTGTAAGGGGGGACGTTTTTCAATAATTCGGCCTCGTGATTAACCACCAAGTAACCCTATAGTATCATATTGATATAATCTATCGACCAGCACTTTTCTGTTTCATGTAAACTGTCGAGAATTCACTAATCAAATTAGCCAAATTTTTATTTACAAAACACTGAGAGGGTGTTCCAACATCCTGGACTGAGTCGATAGTTAGCCCTATCTTTAAAAATGGTTCACGTCGTTTCTATAACAACTATCGGGGGATAATTCTACTTCTGATCGCGTCCAAACTATTGGCTTCTGTTATACTCCGTAGGTTGTTCAAAACCCGAGAAAGATTGACTCGCGAGGATCAGGTTGGTTTTCGTTCTGGTCAAGGATGTATAGATCATATCTTCACCCTCCGCCAAATGTTAGAACACCATCACACTGATCACAGGCCAACAATCGTAATGTTTCTTGACATCACGGATGCCTTCGATTCGTTGAACAGGACTGTTCTCTGGGAATGTCTGTTGAAGAAAGGTGTGCCTGAGAAGTTTATTAACGTCTTGGAAATCCTATATGCAAACACCTCAGGCAGAGTGAGGGCATACAACCACAACCCTCCATTGTTCCATTCAAGCAGTGGGATTAGGCAGGGTTACTCAATCTCACCATTCCTCTTCAACTTGGTTACCGATGACATTCTGGAAACGACCCTGATGGATGTAGGTAATGGTGGTATGGATCTGTTGTCTGGAAAGACTTTTCAACCTTGAGTATTCGGGTGATATTGTCTTATTGTGCAATGATACCCAAATTATGCAAGCATGCAATAAAGCTGTACATTACTGACCCCTATTGGTCCTTGTAGACTCAAGATAATGCCTCGAGACGTTATCATACATGGCACAGAATAGAAACCAGTGGCGATTTTGCTATAAATTTATTTTAATTTCATGAAATTGGACGTAACTTCTTTAACTGAAATAATTCTTTCTAATTGTATTTGTGCTGCCTGAACTGTTTCTGCCATTATTATTATTTCCCTTTCATACGCTAATTTCTATTCATTGTTGTTCTTTTTATTATACGCACTTTACATTCTCTATCACTTCACAGCCCACTGTTATCGTGTAGCGCATATGTATTTGGTGTTATTGTTTTTGGTTGAATATTTGTTGGCAAATATAGACTAATTGATTGATTCTTACACGATGTTATAATCTCTCTTCTTACGGTTATGACCCAGCTATTCCTATTGCTTAGTATTCACGGACACCGATCCACTCGACAAGTCCCCAAATCAAAACACGGTTGAACAGAAAAGAGATTATATTCCAAATAACAAGGTTAGATGGAAGTAAGAAGCAAGTCCGAATCACAATAGAGAAAACGTCAGTATATTTATGGTTTTTTACATGAGAAGATTCTAGAGTATTCTCCAACTATCGACTTGTGCTGATTGGCTAATTCTTAGCCAATCAGCGTGCACCAAAGCAATCGTGAATTGAGCATGCTTTAATCCGGTCTATGTCTCGCTACACACGATTATCATGACTGACAATTAAAGACCTTGGGTTTAGAATCGGTTACATTAGTTTAGATGTATGCATTGTTTGTATCCTTAAGTTTTAAAACTATTATATACTATATATTATTCAAATTCTTTCCTCTCAAATCATATTCTCTATGCCTAATTTTTTTCTACTATCACTGATACTGTTTTTCTAGTTCCAATACTCTAACATTCATTTCACTTGATAATTATATCTGACTGCTTTGAACGAATCCACATTTATCCCATGTTATACTTCGTTTATGACTCATGATGTTTTATTACTCTTTTCACATGTTTATTGTTTTTTCCATATACTTTATTTCATTCAAATAGAATCATATTAAAGAAGCTGAAGCAAGAATAGAATTAACTTTACATTATGGTACACCATATCCACGTTTAACTAATTTACCACCAAATACTTTAGCCGCACATATGAATACATCAACGAAGGGATCAACACCACCACCATCGTCTAGTGAAAGTTTTACAACAACAACAACAAATAATAGTAATAGTGTACATGAAAAGAGTCGAATATCACGACGAACTGAACGTGCATTATATGAATCTGTTCCAGCTTATTTAAAATCATATACTTATAGACCGAAAAAATGAGGAGAAACAATATTATGTCATAAATTTTCTTTCCTTTTTTTCCTCGTTATTTAGATAGTAAATACAGATTCATTTAAATAGAAGTACGGTTTTCTTCTTATTTATCTATTTGTGTTCTTATATTGATGAATCAATTTATTTATCAGATATTGATTTCTGTATTTGCGATTTCAAAGCATACTCTAAGTAGGAATGCTAGTGATAATGATTGAGTAATTAATCTAAAGTACTTTGAACCTGAGACTTAACGATTATTAGTTGAATGCCTCTACAATTAAGCCATCACTTCACGATGCTGACGCATAGGTTTCAATAAATATATTAAAAATTGATATAATAGTGTAATGATGGGATGACTGTATTTTGTGTTTTTGTCATTCACTCTTTGAGTAGTTGTACGTGATTATTAATAACGAGGTCTAGTCAGTTGTAGACAGCTTAGGATCTACTGCAAATGTGTATTAGTTCAAGTTATCACACACATCAACCTAACGGATGAAAATCAACAACTGGAAGATTGTACGGCGTCAACAATTTGTAGGTAGTATTTATCATGTTGGTCTTATTTTGGGATACAACTAAAAACCGATTGACACCGGACAGTTTTTTGTCCTACTATGGGAATTCTCAGGAGTGAGAAATCAAGGCATTCAGGTCCTACTACAGACGCCTAATCACTAGAACCAGTAGGCTGGTATCACATTTCTAAATTCAATCAGTTTGCAATGTAGCACAACAGTCGTCCAGTGCTACTTCTGACAATCGTCCCACATTAGACATACCTAAATTCTATCAAAAACTGAATATGGTAATACCAATACATATTTAAACTTTAGATTTCGCAGAAGATAAGAAATAAAAATATCTGCTCATTCTCGACCAATTTTGAACTGTTTCTTGTAACCTGAAGGCATAGACTAATTTTACCGAATTAATTTCAACTGGTGATTTCACACTTAAAGTAACTCAAATTGACAGTTAGTGAATTGCGTTGATTTCATGTCTGGAGGTCTAGTGGCTCCCAAATTACTCATAGCTTACTTTTATGGGTATAGGTAATACACGTTCCTATCCAGTCAATGAAAAATCAAAACTGATTTACCACCTTTATCTAGGTTCTTACAACTAACATCATTATTCATCCAGTGATTATTACACTATACCTGAGTACTGCTTTGAATACATGTGAATGAGTACTAACAGCCTTCGCATCCTCTTTACCGTTATAGCCATAAAGACATATATACCTTACTGCTGGGCAATATACTTTACATTTCGTTACCAAATAAACATGTCGCTTTCACCTTGCATGTGTTCTAAATTGACAAATGACGTAGTATCTCTTCGGATACGGTAAAAGTCGTTGTATAATAGTTCCTGACTTTCAATGATCATTAGATAATTGTTAACTTTGATACAAACACTTTGGAATTATATGTGATTATCTAGTAAGCTTATTTAACTTAGTTAATTTACAGATGGACTCGGAGTATAATAAACCACTTGTTCGTTTCCTTACTTACAACTTTATACGATATATTCATTAAAAAAGACAAGAATAAATCCTTTGCAGTGTACAGTGATCAGCTATTACTTATTTAGTAAACAATTGTACACATTGTTAGTTGTTAAACACAAACTTCAAGATGGAAATGATAACGCAACAAGATGTCCGTCCAAAATATCTTATTTACCAACTTTAAACTCCAGGCACCAAATACGGTGTAGTGTAATTTTCTGATATTTTACTTAGTGATAATATTTTAATTTAATGTCAAAATAACTCGACCAAGAATGAAAACATGGACTAACCAACGTTTACTTGTTAATCCACCTTAATAAGTAGTAGTGCAAGTCCTATTCATAACACAGCTGAGATGTTCCGAACAGGACGAAACATTTGTCCTAGTTTCTACTGGTAGCCACCGTTTAACTCAAGTTAGAATGGTTGTGAATTAAAGGTAATATCGAGACAATCCGCACAAACTAATGCAAACGAATAATTAAGTACTTCGTCTTCAAATTAATAAATGTTAAAACACAAAACCAAATGATTATTTGTTGTATTTCAATTGCGTATAACCGATACACCAAACAAGAGGGCAGACACAGACGCACATACAACTTCAAATAAAAGAATAAATAGGAATTATTTGTACTAAATTTACAAAAGAAAAATGCAACAACCGTTTTTAATATATCAGAATTAGATAAGTATAAGGTCTTTTGAATGTTAACATACTGAACAGTACATAAGTAAAACACAATATACAGGCAATTAAAATTTGACTAAGGCTAACATAATTACCAGTAAGCATAGTTTAGACCGAACCTATATGAAACAGTAGCATAAAGCATGAAAGAAAATTATACATAGTATCTGTACAGAATGATTGGTATTTGTGTATGTAAATGTGTGTGCAAGAGAGAGGAAGATGGAAAGTGGAAGCAAAAAGTGATAATAGCAGTATAATCACTAAGTTACATTAACATATCGGCAAAATATTCATCAAATTCATCATCTTGTGTTTTGATGGTACCAACACCACTACCCGTAGCGGTAGAAGTAATTGAGGATCTTTTACTGCTATTCTGTCCCGATTGACTTGATGTACAACACCATATTGAATTCAGATCAGCAGATTTCTCTTCAGATGATAACGCTTTGACATTATCATAATTATTATCGTTAGTGTCATCAATACGTGGACGCTTTGAGGACGGGGAAGTACTTGAAGAGTCTATATTATTATCATCACCATTATTTGTTCCTTGTTGACTGGTGATGCGTTCATCGTCACCTTGATGTGAATTTAATTGTTTACCGGTAACATCTCGCCTCCTTTAAAACCAAAAGAAAAAAATAATGAAAATTAAACAAACGTTTTCTGTAGGAAATAAAATGGAACAACTTGAATGCTGAGCGTTCTAGCGGTTTCCATGTTCATTACTCAAAGTGTTGATTAAATCCAAGTTCGGCATATTTGTAATCAAACGCTAACAAACAAGAGGACTACTAAACACTACTGTATTTATTAACCAATTAATATTTGTCTTGATAATCTCATCATGCTGTGCAAATGTCATGTGGCAAATTTGTCGTTATATTATTAAAATAACCCTTGAGATTTTATAAAATATTGAAATAAATGGATTAAAAAACCGCTGAAGAGACTGATTACTGACTAGTAGTATCCAGATCATACTTATCTATTTTTAGCATTGATTGTATACGATTAATCAAATTACAATACGGATACTAGTTTGAGTCGAATTCCAATGTTTTGTGTTTTAATATTTTAGAGGATTGAAAGTGATTGGCAGTAAGCACTGAGACTACAATAAGTCTAATATTTAGATTTTTTATCAGTTAACATCTGCTATTACGGGGGTGTTTGAACTTTTGAATAAAAAGAACCCTTCTCATGAGATTCGAAATTCCGTCACAACTAAATAGATATTACCTATAAACTATTCTATCCGAACACTACAAATAAGGAAAGTCAATCTATTCAACAACCACCTATTCAATAAAAACACATTCAACCAGTCAACATGCATCAATCTAGAAAAAGTAAATAATTGATAGACTAAATGTGTGACTAGAGGCTCGCATGTCACCCTAAAAAGCATTAGATATATTCAGATTAGTTTTAAACTTATTTATAAAATACGACTAGCAATTGAGTTAGATAAAGGGTACTAAATAAAAGTCTGAAGCTGGTTAGAAGGCTGTGAACCTTTATCGATTGAAGTGATTAAGACATATATTAAGAATCTCTAACCAGCAACTACCATGAAGTGTAACACTGATTAAAATATAAATAAACTGAACAAGAGGTAAATGCTAGCAGAACAAGATATCTCATTAGTATATGAAGTCAATAGCTAATGACTGAAACTTTCTAGTCAGATGGGGACTATCAAATCCACAGATGGAAATGTTGGGTGGAATGGAGGCAGATTTGGTCACACTGATACAGTTGCACTAACTACCTATCATCTTCCCCTAAACTTAACTGCTTTTTTCTTCGAAAACATGTTTTTCCTTTAGCATTATATGTCTGATACTTAGATTTCCTTTGCAACAGAAACTAATTCATCTTCCTTTCTCTTTATCAAGTTAATTTTCTTTGCCACTGGGTTGGTATGAGGTGTGGCGACCTGGGCTGATCAATGTTCGTATCAGTTCTGAACTTTGATGATGACTAACTGACATCATCATGCATAAAGTACACTGTCCAGAAAAAACATTTAAACTTCTAGTTCACCCAACTCGACAAATAAAAAGCAAAATAATTAACCTCATAGTTCACACCAATGACCGATCTTAGACAGATATTGGACAGTTATTTTCTCCTAGTATGAGAATCAAATGTGCATATCGATAACCTTGCCAGAAATCAAAACCAGGAGGTTCTAAGTCTTGTGGTGAGCGCTTAAAATCCAAAAAACTAAATTAGCATCCAAGTCCTGGCTTCACTGCCGGTGGGGTTATGGATGTGCATAGTTAAATAGTCTAATACTAAGACGAAACAGTAATCCAAAGTTTCTTGGTTTTCAACAGCTATCTAAGGTTACCCACTTCATGATGTAAACCACCCAATTCAAAACTCCCAGAAAACTATATAGAAAGAAAAAGTAATCGCTAGAGGCGTAATAATGAAATCGGTGTGAAAAGCATATTTGAATTTTAAAATAATTTGTAAGTCTGACTGACCGATATCGATAATTCAACTTTTCAGAACAAGGAGGACACAAACGTATTTTAACCAAAGCATTACGTCGTTCACCACGTTCTTGATAAACAAAATTCACTTCCCAACTACGAAGACGTTCAGATCCAGCTGGGCAAGCTACATTCCCACAAGTGAACTGACCTGAAATTTTTGTACAACATAATATATGATAAAATCCAGTTAAGAGAATAGTGAGTCGATTTTTTAAACCATATTTTGATATATATATATAAAGTCAATTTATACTATTCAGTTTCTAAAACGAAAGTTGGCAAAAAATGATACTAATTGTTAATTTAGCGGCTAAAAGCGACGTATTTAAACTACTGGCAATTTTATACTTAAATCACCGATACTTTTACAAAGGTTAAAGGGTCAACCGAACAACTTAACTTGTATCACTTTAGCTAACCTAATCTTATAGAGCTAGTTTTTTCTGGAAATGAATAAAATAACCAGTTCTTTTCTTTTCAAAAATACAATGAAACACTGATAACTAGTTAGTAGTATTGAAAAGACAAGTTTTTATTGAGCAAATAAGAAATCTTTCTTCCAAGTGATATTATTTACTGAAGCTGTATAGTCATCTTTATAACTGTGTAATATATAAATATTTGTCTAGTGAAAAACAAAGTTGAAATGTCTGAGTATATTGTTTTGATGAGATTTTTCAAAATTGAGTTGCTACTCAGAGATATGTTTAAAAAAAAAACAAACAGGTTGTATTGTGCAGTCGATATTAATTTCGAAACTTGTTCTAATTTACATTGATTATACAGAAATTTTGAACTTTGTGATTATACTATTCATGTCTTAATTATTGTCATAGACTGATATCAGCTGAAGTAATTACTAATGAAAATCACGAAGGACTGATTAGAGAGATAATTTTTCTTTTCAGTATAGAAAAAATTATGCAGTGTGTCACGATGACTGTTCTGTGTGAGTATAACCACTGACATTCCGTTTTAGTACGTAATGAGATTTATTTGTCAGCTGACGTTAATTCATGGCTAAGGCCATCTTTAAAGTTAGTCGATCTCTAAAAACTACTTTAATCTAATACTTTCTTAATCGTTATTGTCATAGATAATTCTGAATGTCAGTGAAATACAATTAAATAACCAAATTCCGACTGGTAATAACATGATTACTAACTATTTAATATACTTAAACCTTAATCTAAATAAACGTTATTTTAATTTACCTGATCAGACAAAAACAAAGTATGACCTAGAAAACACATGGGTGTGTCCAAGTTTACAAATTATTATATATCAACAAAGGAAAATGAAATTAAAACAAGCATTAGAATAGTAGAAAGAGAGTAGTAACAATTAATATAACTAATAAGGATTTAACTAATATTTTACCATTTAGATAAACAGATCTCTTTGTAAACTAGTAAATTTAGTCCCGACCGGGATTTGAATCGATAACTGCATCTCTGTGCTAATGTGGTATGGCAACTCGAACTGATGCACATACGTACGAAGTTCTACGTTGTTACTGACTGACTAAATTTAGTCGATAATGAATATAAAAATGTTATAAAGCAGATATATTGAACTCTCATGAAAAAAAACACTAACCTTGCACGGATACATCAGAATGAAGACAACAGAACTTCCTAAAACCTACAGTTGTTTTACTCTAGAATATATAGTTCCGTAGTATGTTGTTATCTTACAAGAACATAAGTGAAGTATGATATAATGCATAAAATGAAATTCATACGCAAACATTATGAACTCGGAGTAAATAGTTTTTCATAAACAAACTATGCAATGCATACCTTTACCGGAGATCACTTCTTTTTCTAATCTCCATCTCATACCAAACTGTAAAGAAACCAAAAAATTGGAAATGGAAATTTAAGTAGAAAGTAGACATGATTAGGTGTAGGATTTTTAAGAGAAACTGGAAAATTAATTGGATAGTTACAAAATGAAATCCAGAATAGTATGCAACTATAACTTTAAAAACTATAATAAAAAAAGATATATAATTTAATTGTGAAGTTTATTAATAGGGTTCTCAGATAACATCACTAGTGCTTTAAGACAGGGACTGGAACGCCCACCGAAAGTGCCCATCCGCTTAAAATACGAATTAGTCCTATCATTCCAAAATGATATATGGACTTCCGTAAATAATTGTTAGACATTTTGGGTGACATGATTCAAAACTGTTTGCAAATGATCTATGTGCATTCACTGTTTATCTCCCCTTGAGTTCCAAATTTATAAATTGCTTATAATTTATTTACCATTTTTCGAATTTATACTTCCTTCTCGAATTGTATCTTAAATGCCTAATCTTTTCTATTAACATTTTTACTATTAAAACCTCTACTATTCTAAGATCTACCATAGAAATCTCATCATGCCATGCTAATGGAGTACGGTAAATTGGACCTATGTCCAAGTGTGCCGCGTTCTACTTTGTGTACGACTAAGTGACTGATTGATATACATTGTTTTCAGTCAGTAACAAAGTAGAACTTCGTACGTACATCAGTTGGAGTTGCCATATCACATTGTTTTGGAGGTGATCCGTTCTCTGTGAACTGGATAATGTGATTGGATTCAGCCATTCAACTTAAAGAATACAGTACTTCAAAAATTATCGCTATTAACTCGATATTTACCTCAAATTTAATATTCATATAAGAGACAAGTATTAACAAAGATAATTAGTACAAGCAATAATAAACTTTAAAAATTCACAGTATATATCAGTTCAATAATGTAAAAGAATTTTATCAGACAGAAAACGCTACTACCTTGCAGAAAATACAAATATAATACTGTTCAAAAATACAACTCAAAACCAACGTTTAACACTAAATTTTATCATTTAGAATGAATTGCTTTTCCTTATCAAAGATAATACTATATTCATCAGCATTCAAATTGAGGATGACTTATTCGATCGTGTAGTATTTATAAGGACTTATTTTGAAAATCTCCTTCTTGATAATTACGTCACCATGATGTTACAATTAAGTTGATTAATTGACCAAGCAACCATATAAAGATGAAAGTCACAAAGAATATATCACCACTGAGTGATGTAATTAGTAAATTATTAGAGTACTTGGGGCTTTTTTATTTTTAAATCTATGGTAGAATGATTCATGAATACGACCGAATGACACCAAGCAATATAACACATAAATATATCTCAAGATCCCTCTATTATTTGGTTATACCTATATATAAGTGTAGCAATACTTATTAAAACTCTAATTCATAAAAATGACAGGATTTATATGACCCAATGGCGAGACTATAATTTATGGACGAACCAATCAGATTTAGGATAATAGGTCTTGGATTTTGGCACGAAATTCACTCACCCATTCGTCCAGTTCGTGATGAAAAGCATAAATCTAAATCTTAACCCTTACCATTAACTGTAAATCATTGTCTTTATTCTTCAAACTGCTTTATAACCTTCATTTAGCCCTAATAATTAGGTAGATACTCTCAGAGTGACCTTGGCGTCGCTCAAAGGTCGTCCATAAATTGTAGTTTCACCAGACCCAGTAACTTAATGTAGTAAGTAACATCAATTAATTTGTGTATTCTATTCACTTAAACTTACCTTATTTTCTTTGTAGCGTGATAAATCAATAAGGCAATATTCTTTAAATAGTTTTTCCCAGTATTTTTTAGCAAGACGGTCAGACCTTTGAAGAAGCAATAATGTTGTGTCAATTAAGATATAGAAATATCATATATGAACAACAATTTGGTTAATAAACTGGGAAAAACAAATGTTTACATAGATAAGATAGTAAAATTGACTAAAAAGTGGAATACGTAGTTAAGAAGACTGGACAAAACAATGTGTTTACTAGCTAGGTTGAAACTTTGTTAACATGGAAAGCTGATTATCTCAACGACAAAAATATGGTTTTTAAAGGAAATAGATGAAACCTAATTGATACAAACAACGGTGCATACCAATGCAAAATGTATTCGATAAGTTTAGTCAAGGCCCAAACAATTAAAGCTAATTAACTGTAACTCACCAAGTACAGCCATTTACACGGACTAGATAAAGTGTTTGTAGGAGTTAGTGATAATACTAGGCTGTGCATATCGAAAAGGGCGGAAGCACAAGTTAAACTTGTGGCCAGATAACTGAAAGTCGAGTGTTTTGATTAGTGCGTGAGAATGTTTAGGAAAAAGTAACATTTCAGTTAACTTCATATTCCTTTTTAAACGGTCAATCAGTCGTGTGCGAAGTAGGATATGACATGCACCAACTCAAATCGGCACACTTCACTAGCACAGAGAGAAAATTATCTAGAAAAACCCCACAGTAGAAATAGTAACTGTATCAGCAGTAGTAGAAAAGATCAGGTGTGAAAAGAGGTACGAGATTTCGGGACTCAAGTTCTAAAGGGAGACAAAGAATGAAGCACCTGAGCCGTTGCGAACGATTTTGAGACAGTTCACCTTAAGTCTGGGGTGATAACTACACAAAACCTAACCAGATAGTCTGCACTTATTTACATAGCTTAGTTCAGTTTTCAATGACTACATGTATTGGTGCCGGATTTCGATTTGGAGATCTCTAACCTTCAAAAAGTGAGTCCTTTGGTAGGTGATTAACCCATGGAATGTGTGGCAATGGATGTATTACTTAAAAGAAAGTCTACAACTAAGCTAAATGAAAACGTATAAGGTAGACAGCCCCGACGAACACCACTTGGGGTTACGAATCTGATGACAGTTCTCCATAAGCTCTAGCTCCACCAGTAGTGTTCGAGTATATATTCATGTATTATATTACATGTACATTTCGAACATATAATACACATTACACTAATTTTTACAAATAAATGTTATATATATATATATATATGCATGGGGCCAGTAACTTATTGGTTAGGACGTCCAACACTCAGTCACTAAATCTCAGGTTCGAAACCGATTCCACCAAATTTGATTCCGCCGATTATGTAGTATTATTAGTCCACAACAAAGTACCTGGTGAATAAGCTAAGACAAGAATAAAGCTGTTGGGATTTTTAGATATATGTGTTTATCAAAGTGTAACGATGATAATTGGTACATTATAAAACAACACAACGAACATACCATGATGTCGCTTCATCTTCTTCTGACCACAAGAACCTCCCATGCTCTTTTATAACGTCAATATCTGTTTTATCCTTTGAACTGTAATATAAATTGTACGTAATCAAGGAGACAAAATTACGTGTCACGTCGGAAGTCCTTCCATGATCCACCGTAATATTGCAAATAGTCATTCACCAACTTTTTATGACGTTCGAACTTTAGAATAAGTTAAGGGTAAGGTAATGCTTCTTCTAAAAAGACTTCTCCAACAGATAAATAAGAGCTGGATTGTGAGACAAATAGACTAATTAAAACAATTTTCACAGATCACGATACAACAAAGATACTCTGAGCAGTGATCTATGTGCGTATATAGAAGCAAGCAGTTCAGTTCAGAGACAGTTGACCACCCAATACAAACGTAACACACACATTTCCACTTACGTAAAGAGAAGTTTTACTCACTTCCTTCACATTTCAGTAGTTTAATGAAAACTGACCTTCAGTAGTCAAACCAATCAAAGGATACAAAAAGACTAATTCTTATATAATGTGAATTACAAGTTACTAGTAATGTAATGGACTGACGGGAAAACACTACTCTGTTACTTTAACTATTTTAATATTTATAGAAGTTATATTTTGTTAGTAGGTAGCATTTAGTCATGGAAAATGAATTCAGAAATATTTTAGAAAGCTTGCTCATCAGTAGCGACTGTAAACAATGACCAAAATAACAAATACTAAACTTGTACACAAAGAGTAGAAGAAAAGCTGATCTTAAAAACAAAAAACGTTTAAAAACTACAGGTTAGAGTGCATGGATTAACAAAATTGCAGTGACAGGACTACAGTTTATAAGTTAAAAAAACAACTGCTTTATAAATCAGAAGTGTTCAACTTGACGTGAATGTAGGGAATACTAAAAATGTCAAAGTTACACGTATATATGAAACACATGAAATGACGAAAAAACCAATCAATAAATATGCAATCTAACTATAGTATAGTAAGAACATACAAATTAAAAACCAGAGTAAACATCGAGGATGCAAAATAGAGCTAACAATGAGCAAAATCTATGGTCACTGATTCACGGTATGTGGAGAGGTTTAGTTTGGTCGACATTTTCCACATCAGAAGTAATGGAGTGCAACATATTTTGAAACATACTCCGAGTTTGTGGAGGAAAATACACTCACCATTTCATTATTTTCAGACAATAAATAAGGTGCATTCACCTTTGTTTGATTTCTATATATCGTAATCTGAATGAATTCACATCGTTGTTCAGCGAAGGTTTCAGAGGAAAAGCAAAATCAGTGGTTACATTCACAGGTTTCCCCATCTTGCATTACACTACTAAGGAAAACTCAAAGACATTTTTGTCGGCTAGCAGGCCATACATACAAAAATGGTGAGTTTAAACAGATAATTAACTACCACAATCTTGAAGGTCAAAGGATACAGCATTAAGGTTTAGCAGGTGATGTCGTATGGTCGAATTGTAGGCTCTACAGAAAAATGACATATAGCATTTAAAAAATACCTTTTATTTTCTGCATCCAAAATCGCTTTCGAGTTTCCATACGCTGGAAAACGAGGCCTGACAGGTTTTTCCCATAGCTCCTTATCCTTAGAAGGAGGTATGTCAGATTGGCTACCACAATTTAGTAGACAAGTATTTTACAAAATCATAGAAAAATAACAACCTTATCTCACTGCCACGGTCGATATTACTGGAAGTTTCGGACTCATAATCCGAAACGTACTCCCTCGACTCAAACATTCTCGCAGTAAAGATTCAGTCATAAAACGAGCTGTACAGAAACCCAACGTCCAATAACTTTTGGAAGGTTGATGTAATTTTGTGACGAGCTAGTGCAAAATGTTTGGGTTTTTCGCTCTCACTTCTTTGCAACACGGTATGGTTTCAGTCTTCAGACCTTTGTATTGAGGATAAGAGTTATATCAATAAAGACGCGAGCGCTAATTAAAATGACAGTTGCATTTTTACTCACTGAGTAAATTCTATTGTTTATCAGGTATCAAGACTACTGTTTTCACTTTTATTGAATTTATTTCAGTTAAAGTATTCGATAAGAGCGTTGTTTCTGTTTCTAAATTAGTTTGTCGTTGGTACTTTCGAGTATTTTGTGTCCTTTTGTATCTGTTAGGACTTTTGGTTCTAAGAATCTACAGTTTTCCACTTTTTTGATCATAGATCATTTTTGTCCCTGAGTATTATTGCATCTAGTTGTTTTTTCAAGAAAACGACCCCTGTTTAATGGCTGGACAGTGCGAAAAAAGCGATTGACAGCGTCCAGGTTGTCGTTATCCCGTTGAAAGCGGCATGCAGTGCGATGAGTGCAAAGGCTGGTACCACGAAGTTTGCAAAAATTTAACGCCTGCGGCTTTCAAACGGTTCAGTAAAAACGGTTGCGTATGGCTTTGTCAACAGTGCTGTTCGGATGCAAACAGTTTACTAACCGAGGCCATCTCATTGGTAAATGCTGCAAAAAAGTGTTTTGGCAAGCGTGGTCGGGACACATCGAACAGTCCTCGCTCTGTCGAGACGCAAATCGGTGTAAAGCAAACTCTGGTGAGTTCGGAAACGGGTGACTCAGACCGATCAAAGGAGGAAAAAGTCTTCAAAGAGATATGTCTTAGCCAAAAACTCAAGAAAGGAGTTTCTCCTGTCCCCGTCTTCTAAATGGTATTCAGCAGGAAACGCCTAGAAGCCGCAATCGCAAGGCTCGATCGGTTTCTAGCGGGAAACATAACCTGACTGCCAAAATCGTCGACAACCCTCCGGATTCCCATAATATGTTTGACACAACTGTGGTTGCTTCTCCTAGCAACGCTGACGAGCGGGCACAGGTTGTAAGGAAGAAACAACACAACGATATAAAAGGGAATCCCGCCTCCGTAAAAGTAGTCGAGAAATAGAAGGCTGATCACAGTTATTTTCCATAGAATCAAGGAGAATGAAAGCTCTGAGACAAAAACTCGTTTGAGCATGCCATTGTGCTGGTAAAACATTTACTTAATCAACTCATGCCTAAAATATCTACGGAGTCACCTTGCTAAAGGTGTACAGACTAGGTAGTCTAGCGAACTTGAGGCCCAGTCAATCACGTTACTTAAAGTAGTATTCAAATCTCCGAATGAACGCGACCTAATTTCACAGAATGGACATAGACTAAAGGGTTCAGGAGTTTTTGTTTGTAAGTGCTTGTCGCTGGTAGACTGTGTAAAAAGACGGGAAGCCGGAAAAGAACTTCAACTTAGGTAAGACGCTGGCTAAAAAACATAAGAAGTGTAAATTTTCGGGTTGTAAGGCTTCGACAGAGTGATGCCGAAGCCACTCTGGGTGAAGCACGAAGCCACTTAAATAGGCTTCGGATCTGCTACACCAATGCCCGGAGCTTACTTAATAAGCGATCGGAACTAGGTGTATAGATTGACTCTGCAAAGACAGACATAATCGCAGTTACAGAAACCTGGCTGACACAGGCTATAGATAGTATGGAACTTGATTTCGAGGGTCTTACGTTAGTAAGGGACGATAGAATAAGAAAGGGTAAAGGAGGGAATTACCGACCCGTTAGCCTAACTAGTGTGGTTGTTAAAATCTTAGAAAAGACTATTGGGAAGGAGCTGTTTAAGCACCTTAGTGAAAACCGGATCCTTCCGGAGAAGCAGCACGATTTCAGAATAGGTTACTCTTGTCTCACTAACGTATTAGTGGCCCGTGAAAGCTGGTGCGCTCTTAAGGACCGAAAGCTACCTGTAGACGTAGCCTTCACTGATTTCAGCAAAGCTTTTGACAAAGTTCTGCACGACCGGCTGTTATATAAGTTAAGAAATGTCGGGATTGGAAGCAATCTATTGGTGTGGATAAAAGACTCCCTAGTTGGGCGCCAACAAAGAGTACGGGTGAACTCAAAGTTATCTAGCTGGGGAACTGTGCTCGGTGGAGTGCTCCAGGGTACAGTTTTGGGGCCAGTGCTATGCCTCTTGTATGTGAATGACCTTCTTCGTCTCCTATCATCATCGGTCTTGCTATATGCTGACGATGTCAAGATATGGGGGACGATACGATGTGAGGGTGATAGCTTAGAACTCCAAAATGACCTGAAGAATTTATCTGAATGGTCTGTAACCTGGCAGTTGCCGATAAATACTTCCAAGTGTGTTGTGATCCACATCGGTCATCAAGTTACAGATACATACAGGATGAATAACACTGAGCTACCTGTCGTCCGGACACATAATGGCTTGGGAGTCGTCGTTAGTCAAGACTTAAAGACTACTTCACACTGCCGTGCAATAGCCGTCAAAGGTTTTAGAACCTTATGGTCAATACGTAGGGCATTTAGTCATGTCGACGCTAAAACGTTGACTTTGTATATAGTGTTCGTACGTCCTAAACTTGAGTACTGCATACAAGCGGCTAGCTCCTGCTTGAAAAAAGACAGTGAGCTTCTGGAAAAGGTTCAGAGAACGGCGACTAAGCTGATTCCCGGAATAGCGAAGCTTCCGTCTGATGCTCGACTGGCCAAACTATACCTATTCCTGTTGTCATATCGTAGAACTAGAGGCGACTTGATAACAGTTTTCAAACTGCTTAGTGATAAATTTGCACCTGATATACACTCATTTTTCTTGCCTTTTAAAACGGAATTTACGAGGACACTCCAAAAAAGTTCACAAGCCCAGGACAAATTACTTTTCAGCTGACTATCGACTTTCCTATTGAATCATCAACGAGTGGAATTCATCACCTCAGCACGTAGTCGAGGCTCCATCCGTCGACTCTTTCAAACGAAAGTTGGATCAGCTGAGAGACCACCATTGCTAAGACTAACACAGACCATCAAGCATCCTGTCCTTTCCAAACTGAAAATGAAACATATATTAATCCTTGCAGTTCATCTTCTATTGTCTAATGTAGATATTACAGCAACTTATTTGCACCGATCCTAGTGAATTGTACAGTTTGTTAAAGTTTGATATCTGCTGTGTTTGAATAAGTTCATTTAGTCTAAAGATATGAGATTTTTAGAACCAATGGCTATCACAATACTGGAAAGAAGGTTAGTTGTGTAGCGGTAAATAAATCCCCGAAGTAAAGTTCTGCAAGTCTTTGACGTTGATTCTGACCTAATTAACCTTACCGCATATAACCAGCGGAAGGCGCCCGAACACGCATCCGCACTATATAACGAGTTTAGAAGTACCGATGTTCACAAATACATGAAACTTCTCGTGAAATCCAGGCAATCTAATTTTTGGGCTTCATTTTTTATGATGTCATATTCTGATTTACTCAGAAGTACGAGGCTTTGATAACTCATTTTCTATGGGCCTGTGATCACATAAGAGATCACTGGATTGCTCGGAAGTAAATTTGAGCTCGCTGTTACCAGCGGCATGTACTATTATTGGGCCACCACACAAACACTCTTGTTCAAAGTGCACTTAAGAGAATGTCTCAGAATGGGTGATTCTCTCTTATTGACGTTCTGAGAAATCTGAAGTGAGACAGACACTGACCTATCTTTGCGTCCATAGGACGCTATTAAATATCTTCAACGTTTTCCAAAGCTTGAAGTAAGAAATATAGTCAAATGTTTTATAAATTTCGAATAACTTTAAAAGGTTCGAATAACTTTTTCTGCTTAGCGTTTTCTTAGCGAGTTAGTTTCCTACTGTATGGGGTCTCTAACCCCATGCTTAACCCTCCTCCTTCATCTGGGCTTGGGACCGGCAGTAGCCCCCGTAGGGACTCCAGGCGGAGTTAGGATAGGAAACACATCGAGGAGAGCACCCAACTGCGTCACAAGACAAGCCCTCTTATGGAATCCACAAGACCAAGGAACAGACTACGCCGGGAAGTGGAAATAGACATGAGAAAAATGAACAAGAATTAGAAAAGAAGGCCCAGGACAGAGTGGGTTGGAGAATGCTGGTTATTGGCCTATGCTCCATTAGGAGTAACAGGCGTAAGTAATTATATATTTCAGGGTCGATGATCACTCGAAACTCTTTTGAAAGGACTCAGATCTTTCGCAGCCAAAATTGTAGCCGATAATTAAGAACCTGTTGGGAGAATGACACGAACTAATAGCAGGAAAATACATCCTCTGCTGCGACGATGGGATGATGTATGTTGTTGACATTTTGCCTGCACAATGTGCTTGTCAGCGTTTCAGTGACTACATGCTACCGTGTTGTCATGTTTTTGAGCTCATTCCAAAGATCTTAATCGCGAAGGTAAGTGTGCGTTCCTTTGTCTCAGTAAGTGCCACAGGTTTATTTCGACGTAGTAATCGGTTGACAAGGAACTACACAATGGACTTGGTTCTCCGTGTGTTTGAAAACATGTTAAACTGTACAGAGTGCAGATCTTCTTGAGAGGTTCAGAAATGACTACCATCCAATCCGTGCTCTTAGTGAACTGCTGACCAGTGAACGTATTTGTTCATGCCTCAAAGCATCGGAAGACATATTTACATAGTTTATGTGTTCACTCGGTAGTAATGATGAAGCTACATCGTCCACTGTTCTCGCTAACCATCGCTATGCTTCCTGATAACAAGAAACTTTATATATAGCCACCAACTTGTTCTTACAGTGTCACGGCAGAATGTGTACTGTGCAGTCTTGCGTGGCTGTGGAATATAGGGATGTTGGTCCGCGTTGATTTGTAACGATTAGCAGGTTGGAGCATAGGCGATTAGTCGTAAAAATATTTTACCGAATACTACAACCCTGAACATGATGTATAAAGCTACTTGGTCAAATCATATGCTATTGTAATGCATAGAAATCACACAACAGTTGATTTTCATCATCACTAAGCTGTTTGTGTCAGAATACACGAGTAAAACTGGGTGTTTGACACCAATTACCTTTATTGTTGTAAAAAACATTGATTCAGTATAAGACTAGACACCATATCTGTTCTTCGCTTTAAGCGGTTTGCTACTCTCAATCTAACAACCCTATCTTCATGTGATTAGTTTTTAATAATTTTTATTCTCTTGAAAAAACTAGTAGGACTCAAAGGTTTGTTACCTACACCTATGATCTACAAAATAGATAGAGAATATATACTAGCTGTTTGTTCATCGAACGATAAATAGGAGCAAGTAGTCGCAAGTTATACATAAGATATTCATGTATGTGCATTTTCGAAAATAGTTTCATCACTATCTTATAGGGAAAGTACATTCATTTTGAATTCATTTGTTGATTAGTTTGTATTGTTAATAATATACTCTTGTCTTAGTCTTTATCTGAATTATGATTACTGATGAAATGACGTCAAAAATGATATACGAATAAATTTTATGATCTAGTGAACATCTAAGCGGTTAAAATCCTATTGATCGTATAGCCAAACGTACTTTTTACATTGTCATATATTTGGAACAACAAAAACAAGCCAAAAATTGACTGATTTCTTTCATAAATCTAATAGAATGTATTTCTCATTTAAAAAGATATATTTAGATGATCCATTATCGTATAAAAGAATAATCTTACATAAAAATAAGCGTTTAAAAAGTTCTTCATCAATAAAATGTCCAATAAAAACATGGATCGGAAATGAAACTTTTTAAAAGAAAAAAAATAATAAGAATAAGAAAATATCTCGTTAGTCAATAAAACAACGATAAAATAAATGAAAAAGAAGACTCTCTTTGAAAAAAAAGAGAGAAGGAAAATGCAAATTTATAGAATAGAATATGATTATGAATTATTATTCATTTAAAAGATTTAAATGAAATAAATGTCGCATAGTTGGACGTCCATGAGGGCAATTCTAAAATTAAAAACAAACAAAACAATCCCAAAATGAAGTATCAATTACGTAGTTGATCAAATTTAGATCAGAGAAACTTTAAATTCATCAAAAACATCATAGTTTTATTCGACTTATTGATTTCTTTACACTTATATTCATAGATCATTGATCAAAATCGATCATAATGGTATCGGTGTATACACTTTTTGTCTTCCCCTAAACTGTGAGATTAAAATTCCTTTATATCTGTCTTTCTACAAACTAATTCTTTCTTCCTGTACTATATCCTTCTATGAAATCTTTCTTTTATATATTACTACCATTGAACTAAATACTTCTATGGATTTAGTGTTCATCTTGTTGTGCTAATGAGGTATGGCAACTTGGACTGATGCATATATACGCTCGGTCCTACATTGTAGCTGACTGACTACTTCTATCTAATTCTCAATTAAAAAATACTGGATGATTGAGTCGAATGCATTACATGATCAAGTATCATGGGCTAATATTGTAATACTAGTGATATAATCTATTTAAATAAATTTTTCATTAAAACAATAATGAACACGTGTTATATCTTTATCATGGTGCTAAGTCTAGGAGACATAGACGTAGATCTATAAGTAACTTGAGAGGATTATATATATATATATATATATATATATATATATATATATATATGCAAAATTTTAAACTCACCCATGGATGATCCATGGAGCCCATATTTGTTAAGATCTAAAAACAAGGTATACATGAAATCTAGATTAAAAAAGCTAGGGAAAACTTGCAGATATTAATATGGATAAACATGTAATGACGAGTAAAAGACTAATATAACATGAACTAGATAATGATTACTACTACTGATACGACTATTTAATATAAATATAGAGTAATTGTTACCTGTTACAAGTTCCATTGGAATGAGATTGCTTTGCTGATGACTCAAAGAAGAAAACAAAACTGTAGAAGCAGATTGATTGATTTATCAACCACTAATTCAATGACTTACGCAATAATAATTATAGTTCACATAATATTTTAAGTATTTTAGTCAATCAACAAATCTGAATTAATGGAACTAATAATTAGTCAACAACCAAATATGTTTATATAATTTGTGATATCAACTGATTGTTAAGTAGTATAATGTGAACGCCGAGAAATTGGTATGTCTCAAATACACACAATTCAATATTCTATACAATGAATAACAAACCAAGATAAACAATTAACACATGAAACATGTAGTTGATAACAGAGTTTATTTGATACTACTTAATAAGACTTCAATGAAACGATCTATTTTTTTATGGTTACTTATTAACATTAATCAGGTGAGATAAAAATAACTAAATATTCGAAATATAATAATAGGATTGTGTTGGGGAGATCCAGAAAACTCCTCGGAAAAAAGTCAAGAAAGGCTCTGAAAACACTGAGAAGCATCCTATCCAATCAGCGTTCACTAGAAATTTTGCCAGAAACATCAAAAAAGTGAAAAGTCACATGTAGAATTTTTGATTGGATGATTACTTATATTGCTACTATGTTTAGTAGAATTCCAGAATTTTCGGAAAACCTAAAGACATCCAAAATACTATAAAAACCTTAGATTTTCTGTACATAAACGAACTTTTGGAGTAAAGTGTTTCTTTCTCTCGTGTTCAAGTCACTGTGTAGATCTAGCCTGGGGATTACTAGAAGAGCTTAGGAACCAAATCTAGCAAGACTTACCAGTATAACACAATAGAAGATCAAAGAAATTCAGTGTTAATTTAATTGATTCTAAATTGGCATATACAAAATTAGGAGCGATTGAGATAGTTCTTAGAATTTTTAATGTATGTAATCAGTACGTAGATAATTGTAAGATCATAATTCAACTTCATAATCCCTTGCTACTATGTGTTCATGGTATTTCAGACAATCTAGTCTTACTTAATAGATATAAATTTGTGAAGCGGTTGGCTAATTGCTTAAAAACTTAACTTTAAAACAATAAATCAAGGGTTTAAACCCTTTTCCATTTAATATTAGTTTGAACAAACCAGGAATAGTATGGTGCGTGCTACTTGTATTGATATAAGTAGTGTATTATGCGAGTTAAAAACGTAATGTCTGGAAGCAGAAGATGGGGGAAGATCAAGAAAGGAAAAGCGGGAACACAATGCAACATGTAAGAAAACGCATGAACAATGAGATGTGTTTGCAACACGAACAGTCCGGTTTGGTATGATGGATTGATATTTTGCAAATTAACGATTTACTATATGGTTTTTCTACTTTACCAAGTAGCTCTGTAAGTTGTGCTAAATACAGTTCGGTTGTCCTCACCTTTGTTCTCCTTCACTACAATAGTATTATTATTATTTGCAGTGCAATTTAGTTTAAAAGTTTGGTATGAAAATCTGAATTTAGTTAATGAGTTAAGATTAAATTATATTTCAGTAAATTTATATTATTTTGATACAGTTTAATTCGGAATCATGAACAATCGGGATATTCTTCTGATATGAAACAAGATCTATTATGCGCACTAGTTAGATCGGACGATTAATTTACCACAAAACCTTCAAAGTTGATAATCCACAAAACATAAGAGCTCCCATCAAAGCTTTAATATTCCCAACAGAATTGAGAACTGTAACAGAATAACTATTCATATTAAGAAATAAATAACATCATGAGAAACAGGAAAAATAACAAACTGAAAACGAGAACAATCAATCAGATAACAGTAAAAGTGAATGGAGTAAAATAAATTGAAAACAAAAATGATTGACGAATTCCTTACATACTGAAACTACCATTTATTAACGAAAATAATCAAGACACTAGATAGTTGGAGGTCTTACTGACAAGTAAAGGATTTTAGAATAAATAGGCCAAAGCAATCTTAACAATCATTCTAATTACAATCCGATTTTAAAATAATCTATGAAAGCAAACCAGTCGAAACACTATGATTAAATGTAATAAGGGTATTCAGAATTTTTCATTGCTGTCATCGGTGAGTGCATAACACTGGATAACATTCATTGTAGCTGAAATTCGGAGAACTACTACAACAATCATCAAAAAGTACAGGTATTTATAAGCAAGTGTCTACGCAAGATACTCAATGCCTATTGGTCGGATACCATCAGCAACAGCCTACTGTGGGAGAGAACAAACAAGCTTCCATTTGAAGAAAAATCAGGAAAAGACTCTGGAGGTGGACATACATTTCGGAAATCACCAAACTGCATCACGAGACACGCCCTAACTCTGAATCCTAAAGAAAACGGAAAAAAGGGAGGTCGAATAACACACTGAGTCGAGAATCGGAAGCAGACATGAAAAGGATGAATAGCAACTGGAAAGAATGTCAAGGACATGGTTGGATGGAGAATGCTAGTGGGCGGCCTAATGCTTCTCCATGAGAAGTAACATGTGTAAGTAAGTAAGTAAGAAGGCAGGCACTAATTTAGATCGCAAGTAGATACAGCATCACATATTACCATTATCTCTTGCGAATTTCGGATCAAAATGGGTAGCCTACGCACGTGGCTGAAAACACATGTGGTAATTATCTGCGTTTCTCGGGACAATTAGATTGTGAAGTATCTTTTCGAGAATCGACATTTACTGGGGCATGTTACATAACGCCAGCTGGTCTAAATGTACTTGGTTTAAATTGGTTCGGCCAGCTGCAGTTAGCTGACGTCGCGCTAAGTACCTTATGCTATCTGGTAAGATAAACCCCTGAACCGGAAGAATATGCAACGAAGTTAATAACTTGAATATATAATAGCAATAACAATACTACTCTATTTACTCGTTTCATCTTTTTATGATCTAATGCGGTTCCAATCATAACAGCACTACGACATGATCGTGAAGCAAGTATATCTCTCAAACGAGATGGTCGACATTTCTTATTCTGAAAAAGCGTAAAAAACAGAATGGAAGACGATTTTAAAAAATAGGAAGTCAGTAAATATTCACAATGGCATCCACAGTTAGATCGACTGATCAAATGGTTTAGTCAATGGATTCACAATTAAGATTTACTGGCATTATACAAAAGGACATCCTTTTGACATTTCCTAAGAAATCAGTTCACAGAATAATTGGATGATATACCCACAGATGCATATTTTTTGAGTCTTTGAAAGTTACTCAACTTCTAATTACACAATGCGTAGAGTAAAATTTATGTCAATTGTTGAAATTAGTCAAGCTAAAACTGAAGTAAAACCGATGAAGTTATTACAATAAGAACTGGGATATTTTACAAACATTATATTATAGAAGAATATGACCTATTTTCAAGCTCAAGAATTATCTGACTGCAGTTAACTCAAGATATAGATTTAAGAGATCAGATATATCTATCTAATTCCGCCTGGAGTCCCTCCGGGGGCTACTGCCGGTCCCAAGCCCGGATAAAGGAGGAGGGTTGGGCATGGGGTTAGCGTCCCCATCCCGTAGAAAACTAACTCGCTAAAAAAACGCTAACCAGAAAAAATTATTCAAACCTTTTAAACTCTGCCCTGGGAGTCAGAAGATCTTCATTTAGAAGAATTATGACGCCTCATGATGAAAGCCGAATCCCTTCGGAAGTTACGAGGCCGATGCCCCTTCTGACAACCAGAGCGACCATTTATTTAGGTACATGGAATGTTCGTACAATGTGGGACACCGGAAGAGCCTTCCAGATTGCTGCAGAAATGAAAAGATACAACCTAGAGGTACTTGGGATCAGTGAAACACATTGGACACAAGTTGGACAACAACGACTAACTACAGGAGAGCTCCTGTTATACTCCGGCCATGAAGAAGAAAATGCTCCACATACACAAGGAGTCGCATTGATGCTGTCCAAACAAGCGCAAAATGCACTTATAGGATGGGAATCTAATGGACCAAGGATCATCAAAGCCTCGTTTAAAACAAAGAAAGAGGGGATTTCAATGAACATCATCCAATGCTATACGCCTACCAACGACTACAATGAAGACGCTAAAGATCAATTCTACAATAGGCTGCAGTCAATCATCGAGAAGTGCCCAACAAAGGACCTGACCATTCTGATGGGAGATTTCAATGCCAAGGATGGAGTGGACAACACTGGATATGAAGACATCATGGGACGACACGGACTGGGAGAAAGAAACGAAAATGGTGAGAGATTTGCAAATCTATGTGCCTTCAATAAACTGCTCATAGGCGGCACCATATTCCCACATAAACGCATACACAAAACCACATGGACTTCACCGGATCACTCTACACAAAACCAAATCGACCATATTTGGATCAACAAAACGTTCAGGAGGACTATAGAGGACGTGAGAACCAAGTGAGGAGCTGATACAGCATCAGATCATTACTTGCTGGTCGCCAAGATGAAATTGAAACTCAAGAAGCACTGGACAATGGGGCGGACAATATCACAAAAGTTCAATACGGCCTTTCTTCAGGATACTAAAAAACTCAACAAACTCTAGATAGTCCTCAGCAACAAGTTCCAGGCCTTTCATGATCTACTCAATTGAGAAGGAACCACTGTGGAGAGCAACTGGAAGGGGATCAAAGAGGCAATCACTTCAACATGTCATGAGGTTCTGGGTCACAAGAAGCACCACCACAAGGAATGGATCACTGCTGGTACACTGGATAAGATTCAAGAAAGGAGGAACAAGAAGGCAGCGATCAATACCAGTCGAACAAGAGCAGAAAAAGCCAAGGCACAAGCTGAATACACGGAAATAAACAAACAAGTGAAGAGAAGCATCAGAACCGACAAACGTAAATATGTGGAAGATTTAGCAACGACGGCGGAAAAGGCTGCAAGAGAAGGAAACATGAGAAAACTGTATGACACGACAAAGAAACTCTCTGGGAATCGCCGCAAACCAGAACGACCAGTGAAAAGCAAGGAAGGCAAGGTAATCACCAACATTGAAGAGCAACAAAACAGGTGGGTAGAACACTTCAAGGAACTCTTGAATCGACCAGCCCCACTGAACCCACCCAACATCGAAGCAGCACCCACGGACCTCCCAATCAATGTTGGCCCACCAACAATTGAAGAAATCAGCATGGCCATCAGACAAATCAAGAGTGGCAAAGCAGCAGAACCAGACGACATTCCAGCAGAGGCACTAAAAGCAGACGTAGCGGTAACTGTAAGGATACTCCACATTCTCTTCAATAAGATTTGGGATGAGGAACAAGTACCAACAAACTGGAAAGAAGGACTACTGATCAAAATAACAAAGAAAGGCGATCTCACCAAGTGTGATAACTACAGGGGCATCACTCTTCTCTCAATACCGGGAAAAGTCTTCAACAGAGTATTGTTAAACAGGATGAAGGATTCCGTAGACGCCCAACTTCGTGACCAACAGGCAGGATTCCGTAAGGATAGATCGTGTACAGACCAAATCGCAACTCTACGGATCATTGTGGAACAATCTATTGAATGGAATTCATCACTCTACATCAACTTCATTGACTACGAAAAGGCATTTGATAGCGTGGACAGAACAACACTATGGAAACTTCTTCGACACTACGGCGTGCCTCAGAAGATAGTCAATATCATACAGAACTCATATGACGGATTACACTGCAAAATCGTGCATGGAGGACAGTTGACAAAGTCGTTCAAAGTGAAGACCGGTGTTAGTCAAGGTTGCTTACTTTCACCCTTTCTCTTTCTCCTGGTGATCGACTGGATCATGAAGACGTCAACGTCTGAAGGAAAGCGCGGGATACAATGGACATCTAAGATGCAGTTGGATGATCTAGACTTCGCAGACGATCTGGCCCTTCTATCCCAAACGCAACAACAGATGCAGGAGAAGACAAACAGTGTGGCAGCAGCCTCAGCAGCAGTAGGTCTCAATATACACAAAGGGAAAAGCAGGATTCTCCGATACAACACAGAATGCACCAATCCAATCACAATTGACGGAGAAGATTTGGAAGATGTAAAAACCTTTACGTATTTGGGCAGCATCATTGATGAACAGGGTGGATCTGATGCAGATGTGAAGGCGCGGATCGGCAAAGCAAGAGCAGCATATTTACAACTGAGGAACATCTGGAACTCAAAGCAACTCTCTGTCAACCAACACCAAGGTCAGGATTTTCAATACAAATGTCAAGACAGTTCTACTGTATGGGGCAGAAACCTGGAGAACTACAAAAGCCATCATCCAGAAAATACAGGTGTTTATTAACAATTGTCTACGCAAAATACTTCAGATCCATTGGCCGGACACTATTAGCAACAGCGTACTGTGGGAGAGAACAAACCAGATCCCAGTGGAGGAAGAAATCAGGAAGAAGCGCTGGAAGTGGATAGGACACACATTGAGGAAAGCACCCAACTGCGTCACAAGACAAGCCCTCGCATGGAATCCTGAAGGTCAAAGGAAAAGAGGAAGACCAAAGAACACATTACGCCGAGAAATGGAGATAGACATGAGAAAAATGAACAAGAATTGGATGGAACTAGAAAAGAAGGCCCAGGACAGAGTGGGTTGGAGAATGCTGGTCAGCGGCCTATGCTCCATTGGGAGTAACAGGCGTAAGTAAGTAAGTAAGTAAGTAAGTAAGTAAGTAAGTAAGTAAGTAAGTAAGTAAGTAAGTAAGTAAGTAAGTAAGTAAGTAAGTAAGTAAGTAAGTAAGTAAGTAAGTAAGTAAGTAAGTAAGTAAGTAAGTAAGTAAGTAAGTAAGTAAGTAAGTAAGTAAGTAAGTAAGTAAGTAAGTAAGTAAGTAAGTAAGTAAGTAAGTAAGTAAGTAAGTAAGTAAGTAAGTAAGTAAGTAAGTAAGTAAGTAAGTAAGTAAGTAAGTAAGTAAGTAAGTAAGTAAGTAAGTAAGTAAGTAAGTAAGTAAGTAAGTAAGTAAGTAAGTAAGTAAGTAAGTAAGTAAGTAAGTAAGTAAGTAAGTAAGTAAGTAAGTAAGTAAGTAAGTAAGTAAGTAAGTAAGTAAGTAAGTAAGTAAGTAAGTAAGTAAGTAAGTAAGTAAGTAAGTAAGTAAGTAAGTAAGTAAGTAAGTAAGTAAGTAAGTAAGTAAGTAAGTAAGTAAGTAAGTAAGTAAGTAAGTAAGTAAGTAAGTAAGTAAGTAAGTAAGTAAGTAAGTAAGTAAGTAAGTAAGTAAGTAAGTAAGTAAGTAAGTAAGTAAGTAAGTAAGTAAGTAAGTAAGTAAGTAAGTAAGTAAGTAAGTAAGTAAGTAAGTAAGTAAGTAAGTAAGTAAGTAAGTAAGTAAGTAAGTAAGTAAGTAAGTAAGTAAGTAAGTAAGTAAGTAAGTAAGTAAGTAAGTAAGTAAGTAAGTAAGTAAGTAAGTAAGTAAGTAAGTAAGTAAGTAAGTAAGTAAGTAAGTAAGTAAGTAAGTAAGTAAGTAAGTAAGTAAGTAAGTAAGTAAGTAAGTAAGTAAGTAAGTAAGTAAGTAAGTAAGTAAGTAAGTAAGTAAGTAAGTAAGTAAGTAAGTAAGTAAGTAAGTAAGTAAGTAAGTAAGTAAGTAAGTAAGTAAGTAAGTAAGTAAGTAAGTAAGTAAGTAAGTAAGTAAGTAAGTAAGTAAGTAAGTAAGTAAGTAAGTAAGTAAGTAAGTAAGTAAGTAAGTAAGTAAGTAAGTAAGTAAGTAAGTAAGTAAGTAAGTAAGTAAGTAAGTAAGTAAGTAAGTAAGTAAGTAAGTAAGTAAGTAAGTAAGTAAGTAAGTAAGTAAGTAAGTAAGTAAGTAAGTAAGTAAGTAAGTAAGTAAGTAAGTAAGTAAGTAAGTAAGTAAGTAAGTAAGTAAGTAAGTAAGTAAGTAAGTAAGTAAGTAAGTAAGTAAGTAAGTAAGTAAGTAAGTAAGTAAGTAAGTAAGTAAGTAAGTAAGTAAGTAAGTAAGTAAGTAAGTAAGTAAGTAAGTAAGTAAGTAAGTAAGTAAGTAAGTAAGTAAGTAAGTAAGTAAGTAAGTAAGTAAGTAAGTAAGTAAGTAAGTAAGTAAGTAAGTAAGTAAGTAAGTAAGTAAGTAAGTAAGTAAGTAAGTAAGTAAGTAAGTAAGTAAGTAAGTAAGTAAGTAAGTAAGTAAGTAAGTCAGTAAGTCAGTAAGTCAGTAAGTCAGTAAGTCAGTAAGTCAGTAAGTCAGTAAGTCAGTAAGTCAGTAAGTCAGTAAGTCAGTAAGTCAGTAAGTCAGTAAGTCAGTAAGTCAGTAAGTCAGTAAGTCAGTAAGTCAGTAAGTCAGTAAGTCAGTAAGTCAGTAAGTCAGTAAGTCAGTAAGTCAGTAAGTCAGTAAGTCAGTAAGTCAGTAAGTCAGTAAGTCAGTAAGTCAGTAAGTCAGTAAGTCAGTAAGTAAGTAAGTCAGTAAGTCAGTAAGTCAGTAAGTCAGTAAGTCAGTAAGTCAGTAAGTCAGTAAGTCATTAAGTCAGTAAGTCAGTAAGTCAGTAAGTCAGTAAGTCAGTAAGTCAGTAAGTAAGTAAGTAAGTAAGTCAGTAAGTCAGTAAGTCAGTAAGTCAGTAAGTCAGTAAGTCAGTAAGTCAGTAAGTCAGTAAGTCAGTAAGTCAGTAAGTCAGTAAGTCAGTAAGTCAGTAAGTCAGTAAGTCAGTAAGTCAGTAAGTCAGTAAGTCAGTAAGTCAGTAAGTCAGTAAGTCAGTAAGTCAGTAAGTCAGTAAGTCAGTAAGTCAGTAAGTCAGTAAGTCAGTAAGTCAGTAAGTCAGTAAGTCAGTAAGTCAGTAAGTAAGTAAGTAAGTAAGTAAGTAAGTAAGTAAGTAAGTAAGTCAGTAAGTCAGTAAGTCAGTAAGTCAGTAAGTCAGTAAGTCAGTAAGTAAGTAAGTAAGTAAGTAAGTAAGTAAGTAAGTAAGTAAGTAAGTAAGTAAGTAAGTAAGTAAGTAAGTAAGTAAGTAAGTAAGTAAGTAAGTAAGTAAGTAAGTAAGTAAGTAAGTAAGTAAGTAAGTAAGTAAGTAAGTAAGTAAGTAAGTAAGTAAGTAAGTAAGTAAGTAAGTAAGTAAGTAAGTAAGTAAGTAAGTAAGTAAGTAAGTAAGTAAGTAAGTAAGTAAGTAAGTAAGTAAGTAAGTAAGTAAGTAAGTAAGTAAGTAAGTAAGTAAGTAAGTAAGTAAGTAAGTAAGTAAGTAAGTAAGTAAGTAAGTAAGTAAGTAAGTAAGTAAGTAAGTAAGTAAGTAAGTAAGTAAGTAAGTAAGTAAGTAAGTAAGTAAGTAAGTAAGTAAGTAAGTAAGTAAGTAAGTAAGTAAGTAAGTAAGTAAGTAAGTAAGTAAGTAAGTAAGTAAGTAAGTAAGTAAGTAAGTAAGTAAGTAAGTAAGTAAGTAAGTAAGTAAGTAAGTAAGTAAGTAAGTAAGTAAGTAAGTAAGTAAGTAAGTAAGTAAGTAAGTAAGTAAGTAAGTAAGTAAGTAAGTAAGTAAGTAAGTAAGTAAGTAAGTAAGTAAGTAAGTAAGTAAGTAAGTAAGTAAGTAAGTAAGTAAGTAAGTAAGTAAGTAAGTAAGTAAGTAAGTAAGTAAGTAAGTAAGTAAGTAAGTAAGTAAGTAAGTAAGTATATCTATCTGCCGAGTACAGGGTGAATACAATGGACAGGAGTTTCGATAGGAAACTGAAACCAACATTTTAGATCATAGATCAGAAGTGTTTCTAATGTAACAGAATGGAATTCGTATTACACTTGATCCAGTCTCTGGAACACTAGACTAGGTGAACTGAGATATTCAGAATTCAGTAGACTGTTGGGAATCAGCTATTTATCGAAACAATAGTTGATTGGCTGGAAATGCGAACAATTAACACAATGAAATTGAAAACAAGGAATATTTGAGCGAACAATTATTTTCAGTAACTTCATCATCAATCCAAAATTATTGTGATATTTTACGAAGGCCAAAATAAAGCATGCATTAATGAATTTGACAATGTTATATGAGGATAGACGGTTCTATAAGAAGAAATGTATTTAGAAAGTACTTGAGCAAGTCTGTATACCCATTTTCATAGATTTACGCCCCCTAAACACAAAGTAAATTTGGTTAGATGACTTATCCATAGAATCAAACTATTATGTTCTGAGCTTAGTGTAGATAGTGAAATAGATAAAATCAAAGAACACCTTACTAAATAACGGCTATTCAGATAATTTCGTCAGAAACTTTTTGTTGGACGGTGAAAAAGAACAAAATCTGACACGGTCAACAAGAAATCTATCTATCGAAAACTAGATTTTGAGGGGGATATAAGAGGTGGCCCCAAATGTCCTGATACGGCCGAGGGTGTGGAGAGTTCGCGCTTCATCTCGAAATGCTCTAACATAGCCACGTGCATACAACCACCGCCAGGGAAGTCCTACTCACTGCCTCATCGCGGTGGGGGTGTTGTTCACGAAATTGATGGGACGAAAAGCGAATGTCCGGCACGTTAACCGGGTTGGTGGATATGAGGGATCTACTTAGAGGAGTTAGAAAACCCTGATTTCAAGCTAATGGTCAAAAACCTACGAAGTGGCTCCCTAGGAAAACCATCTACTTCGGTTTGGGCATCCGGTCAGCACCTCAGTTTCAAGATGGATTTCCTGGAGATCTAGTGGGAAGCCGTGAGCAGTGGAGTCCAATCCGTGTTGGGTATCAGACAGTTGTCCACCTCAGACAATAGATGAAGGGATGCACAATATCATGAATTAATTGAAGTTAAACAGTAACACAGTTGGATCCCGGCTCAATGGTATCAAGACCAGAGGTCCCGGTTTCAAGTCCTGCGTGCACGATTGCGGATTCGCACTGGCAAGGAGTCCTATACTAAGACAAAACGGCCGTCCAGTGATTTCAGGCTTTTAGTGGTGATCTAGCTTATATCGATTCGTAACATACCAAACAGGATTTTAATCAAAAACCTCAATACTTAATGAGGAGCTACATAAAATTATCTGATACATCAACTTATAATGCCATACATTCTTTGTGATAATACAACTTATTTATTGTTCGTAGTTAGCAAATAGATGACATCGAACGACAAATATATTGGAATGGAAAAAAGGAAGGTAAGTTTTAAAATAAGACAAACAACACTTACACATGTTTCAGATAACACAAACAACATTTCGTCAATATCTGTTAAATAGAAAGAATAAGAAAACAGTGTGAAATCAAGATTACTAATAGTATTCACTTGAAGGTGATTAAACATACACAAACCTAACTTCGAGAACAAACTTGTAATAGTTGCTATTTTTCGATCTCATTATTTTCAATCTTAGATAAGTATTCTCCTAATAGAATACTCTAACTGAACACACCTATATATTTGCTCCATCCCAAAGAACTCTTCTCTAATTCGTTTATTAATGTTTAATTCTATTATGCTTTATTGTATTCTAATTGTTTATGGCAAGTATCAACTAATACCGACCCTAGGTTCAGCGAATCATGTTGATTTGGTCAGTCATAAGCAACGTTGGTAGTTGAAAACATTTAACATTAACAATATGATTCCAGAAGAAATAATTAATTCACTGATTTGAAAGTATAAAATGATTTTAAAACTTAAGATCTAAGGGAAGATAAACAGTGAATGGATCTGCACATTGAGATCCATCCTAATCCAGGCCATACAATCTCCGACTATTACTCACAAAAATTGGTATACCCCAGTCAGATAGTCTGCGCCCACCTACATGGTTCAGATCAACGGTCAATGATCTGATGGACAGATTTTACGTTTTTATTCGGCTGCCCAGTAAATATCGTGCATCGAGGTAGGCATTAGTTATTGAGCAAAATATGGAAATAGAAATGTGAATTGTACGAATGACAAGTATTAAGCACATATGAGAAAAAAATGTCTGATAAAGTGCGCCTGTCCTTTTTTCATAACGCAGAAAAAATTAGTTAGAAAATTGTGAGTAGTATGATAACATTTATCACAAACTCTGTAAATTTCTTGATTCATATTCATTGAAAATAATCAAACTGACATATTGAAAAAGAATTTGAATTAATTAATTCAAAGTATCAAGAGCTTATTTTAATATCCTTCCTTCAAGATAATTCTCTCTTGATTATGAAATATATTAGGACTTAGTAGCTAAGTGGATTACTTGATGGTGTTTGAAGTTAAATGTACTAGGTTCAAATCCCGGAGTGATCAACAACTCTGTGATGCAAGTACATCCTGCTGACGAGTCTCAGACAGGACGAAACGCATGTCTTGGATTCCATCTCATCTATGAAATATATTCCAAAACCGAACATACAAAGAATATTGGAAACAACACAAATAACCATAGAACATTTACCTCTATAACTGAATAATTTATTTTCTAACATTGGTGCAGCAACAAGAGATATTTGTTGACCAGCAGGTTCTAACAATATAGATGTAAATTAAATTAATTATTATTATTACTATTATTATTAATGAAGAGATAAGTAGGATCTTTTGAGAAATTAATATAAACACGTTATAATTTTTAAGATAGTTCACACTATAGACAACGAATAAAATCCTAGGAAACATTATATGACAAGTGTTTTGTTCAGTAGTATCGTAGTGTATACTACTTATGTTGAAAGATATAAGTAGTATGTGAAATGTATACCAGAACACGATTGTGACGATTTAATTGAAAAGAACAGAAAGTAATTGCAATAACAAGAGAATTAAAAGAATTATGAAACATGTAAAGGATAACTGATGGAAGATTTTCAAATAATGTATTGTTTTCATGTTCTGTGGAAGCACTCTATACTTTTGTATTAAACAATAAATTGGTTTCCCCCACCGGAGTTATTGTTCAATACAGTGTCATTTGATAACTATGAATCATGATTGGGAACTGATGTTCATTATAATGAGACGGTTGAAAATCGGTCAAAATAGTAGAAAAATGTAGTGTTTTTATTCTTCATTACATATGATTACCAAAAACAAAGATTTACTATGAAATCATACAGTTTATAGCTTGATTTAATGTGTCACTTTTTAAAACAGATTTCCTGAATCTAGTTTTCTATATTGTAATTGATACTGTTATTCTGATTTCCTTGGTGTCATTTTGTTCACCTGAGCAATTTACATAATTAATTATTACGAAAAGATATGAAGCATGCTAGGTAGTTGTCGTTAGCCGATAGGAAACTCTGCTTGATATAGGTTTCATGCAAGTTGACACTTAGTAGTACCGCATACATGCAGTATTGGAGGAACTGATATTCACTGTAGGGCTTAGACTCACCTCAATAGTCAGTTGCATAGTTTTAGGCGTTGCTACCGTGCTTTTAGTATCACAACTGATTTCCTAAAATAATGAGATATTTATACACTGTTTGATTACTGAGTAGTGAGTAACCAATGTAATATGCTTTTGTCAAGTTCAACCACGTTAATTACGTCTGACAGATATTATTGATCTGATACATTTTCCCACCATAATTATCAAAACATACAGAAGTATAGAAATATCTGAAAACATACCATCATTGTGAATACGAAAAGCGAATCCGTTCTTAGCAAATACATCCAAATTATTGATTAATACTTGTTCATTTGTTATTGTTAAATTTAACTTTTTAGGTCTGTAAAGAGGATAGTAGGGTGAAGGTATAACTGACGCAAATATATTCTTATATTATTGGTTGATAAAAGGTTAAAACCGACGACTTTTATTATGTGGAGTCATAGCTTATTGCCTAAAGCGGTTGGTAGTAAAACAATAATATGTAAATTCGAACTCCACTCAGCAAATTCAGTACATAATAATACCACTTACAAAATACAGGTTATTGTATTCAGTTTTAAACCATACTGCTTTGATGAGGTCTAGTCATATTACACACCTACCCAAACCACTTTGGTGATGTAGTGTCACAACTGGGACTGATTCAAACTTGTGTCAAGTCATTATTCTGTTTAAAACTAACCGATAAAACAAAGCAGGCGGGAGTGGAGTTTGAACCTGTAAGTTATTGTTTAAAGCTAAGCTATCATGGGCCTATATCACTCAAGATCAGTCGTAGTTACGCACTTGTATTCATTCTGTATATTTTTCAAAATATAATGTTAAATGGCATTTCTAACTTATTTCAAAGGTGTGTAGACCAAACGTCTACAAAGAACTGATAAGTCTTGCTGCTGATACAGCTAAACTTTCTTCCTACCCGGTTCATATAACCCAAAATACTACACATCTACTAGAACAATAGAGAGAAAGCGCGAATACCACATAAACGCTTTACTCCAAGGTAAATCAACGAACAGAAAAAACAAGGGTATTTATAGAGCTGTATACGACCATGGGCATCTGAAAATGTTTGGAACCATATTAAATATAGCAGCAGTATAAGTAAATATTCGATCAAAAAAAGCGACGCACTTTCTAGATGTTTCTGAGAGGCTTCTATTCAAGGTTTTCTGACGTTTCTGAGCCTCTAGGGACTTTTACAAGTGATATTTTAGAAATAACCCATAAAGAACACAAATTTAAATAAGTTTTATTGGATTATAATAACAAAACACAATGATGATGATGAGAGTACATATATAAGAATAATCTGGAAAAATATTGTAAACGAATGCTTACACAACTAATGGTTGACTTTTGAATCGATAGTTTTCTGACAATTGTTCAAATCGATATTTCTCATCACTAGCATGCTGATCAATGATGAATAAATCTTGATTATGTCGTGCTATTATAAAACCCAAATTAAATTGTCCAATTACTTTTAAACTGTTGAAAGTTTCTTTCCTTTAATGGATAATAATAATAATAAGTTAAATAGATATAAATGTAATGATAGACATATATATCCATGTTCTGTCAAGTAAATTTACTAATCCTTATCACTAAAAACTTGATTGTACGAAATCCAGGGTACATCATAATTCTTCTCATCCCATTATTTCGCAATTTGTTGTAAAAGATTTGACCAATATCCGTTCAGATTGTTCAAGATATATCTAGATTTCTTACAGTTAGATTCTTTAAATGCATAGTTATTTTATGTTTAATTATCTCCATATTGCTACAATGTTGCCAGCCCGTGACCATTTTGTATTTTAATAATTATACAAGATCATACAGGGCTAAGTGTAATGATTAGGGAGAGTGATCTAATGCATAATTTTACGGACAATGTTCTCTATCCTAAATGGTTTGCTAGAATCACAATGTATAGTCAACAGTTTCGAATTCAGGTAATCAGAAGCCAATCAAACTGTAGGTAGGCTAAAGGAAAATAAAACAGATAGACGACTGTCTATAGAGCTTGCAACTTGAGTATTATGTTATTACAGATTTCAATTTTCTTTTACAAAATCCATTGTGCTTATCTTCTAGACCACTAAGCCGGCTGTCCAGTGCTTCCAGATTTTCCATAGTGGTCTAGCTTTAAATGACTCATGAACTCAACTATTAAATTACTACAATCTCCACAAAACCCTACTCTGATATTAAAAATAAAAGCACATCTTACTAAAGAACCAATCAAGTTTAACTATTTATGATTGTTACATTTTTGAACAAAATACAAAATAGGTGGATGAATAGTGTGTAACTTATTTAGCGCTAAGTAAGTAATAAGTCGAAATCTATTCATTGATAAATATGAAATGACCAAAAGAATAGCAATCATGGTGTATAAATTTTTGAAGGTAATGCAAAGACTGTTAATATTTGAAGTAAAAGAACTAACTGCCTACATCTCTTTATTCATACAAGGCAAAAAAGCATTCTCATTAAAAAGACTCCTAATAAACATTCCTATCTCTTAATCTAAGTTTTTGAATCTAAGTCCTAAATCCGAACTTATATATTTTCTAAACAAAACTCTTAATCAGAAGTCTAATCATTTTCAGTATTTTCTGTAAGATATTATGTATTTATGTCATCTGCACTCAGAATGGCTGAAAATTGATTTTACTAACTCAGGTTTATTTTAAAATCTTTTGATTGAGGTCATGAACGATTGATGTTAGATCACCATTGAAAACCTGGAAGCACCAGACGGCCGTCCCGTCCTATTGTGGGACTCCTCAGCAGTGCGCATCCACGATCCCGCTCGCGGGATTCGAACCCAGGGCCCTCAGTCTCGTGTGCGAACTCTTAACCTACTGAACCACTGAGCCAGCATCTAATGGTGTTAATGTCTAACCTCAACCAATCCACGAAATCGCGCGACCATCTTCCATTGTACTGAGGTAGACGAAACGGCCTTCTAGTGCTTCCAGGTTTTCAATGGTGGTCTAACATCAATCGGTTCATGATTTCAATCAAAAACTTAACAATCTCCACAACCACTATATTGATTATTTTAAAATCATAGAAGATTGCGAATAATGCAAACTTTCAGTATCAGACCCTTTGTTCCAAAAAAAATTAATGAATTACTTGAAATATGTAGTTAATTCATTTTCAGCTTCTTGATTTTCCATAGATTTAAATTTAACAGACGTGATGTTCTCTTCTGTGTGATTATCATCAACACCGTTATCATTAGTATTCGTTTCGTTGTGAAGATGATTATTATTTAACAAAATCCGTTTCCATTGATTACGTAAATTTTCCATGGAAAAATTAACTTCGATAGATTCTAAATTATTATCACTAAACTGAAGGTTAGATAGTAGATTCAAAGATAAATTATTTTTAAGTATACATATGGATGTAAAACATGATTATTAAGAGTATAGGATACTTGTAGGTTACTAGTATTCCATTATAGGTGTCTAAGAAGTGTTGTTCGTGTAGTTTGTAACAACAGAGTAAGCAATGTCTGAGCTTGAAATATGGTACTACGTGAAGATGGCAAATCGATTGATCAGGTAGTAAATCGACATCAATTCAGGTGATTCGAATACGTGTTACGCATACCAAACCACCGACTACCACGACAGGAGATGTTTTGTAGTACAGGAATGGGCTATAAGAAAGCAACGGACAGCCAAACCAAAGCATGATACCAGTCCATGAAGCCATTGACATTTCGTCTTGGTCATCTTTATAAGTATAGGCTATCTGGTTGGAGTTCGCGTGATCACCGTAGCCAATGGTTAAAGACTTTGGATGACACTGCCCGAAATAGTTTGCAATAGCACAGGTGCATCCACCCTTTGTCTTCACCTAAGTTCTGAGATTCAAATTCCTCACAACTTTTTCTTGTTTTTATTTAATTAATTTATAATTTTTTTTCGAGTCGTACCTTCGATGCGTAATCTTTCCAGTTATCACTAATACTGTTACGATATCTACTATTGTAGGGCTCGGCCTGACAACTTCATCTTTCTGTGCTAATGTGGTAAGGCAACTTGAAAAGATATGCATACGTACAGGATCTACACTGTGACTGAATGATGAATTGTTCATATTATTCATCGACTTGAAAAATCAATCATACATTACAAAGCGTTAAGTCAGTCACAAGTAACATTAAACCTAGCACATATGTGGATTTGCTCACGTCCTAACAACATATCAACACACAGATGAAATTATCACGACAAATGATAGAATAGAGTAGAAATAATAAGAATATCAGTAGATGCATCAAAAATAAGGTGCCACTGAGACCAAATTAGATTTACCCACTTCTACCCTTACAACATCATTGTACATCGATGTAAGCGGTGGTCGAGCATATGTAACACATGTCTGTGTTCGAAGATTCAGAACTTCACTAATCAATGTGCCATTTTACCTAGTGACCTTATGCTTTAACCTTAATATTGTTCTCTCGGTAGTGCTAAAATATACGAATAATGAACCGAAGTCATCTACGGTCAAATAGTAGTAACCGCGGAATTTCCTTAACATTTAAGAGCCAAGTTTCATTATCACAAAGCAGAACACGACAAACTGTTGAGTCGTTGGTTAACAAATGAACGTCTCGTTCATACTATAAGTGACACAATTTGGAAAGATCCAAGTGAGTTGTCCGAACTGATGTTGAGATTCTATCAGAGACCAACATACCAGGGTTGATCAGGCTTCCAAGTCAAGTGGGACGATCGAAGCGATCAACTACTTTCCTCCTCATCAATAATAAACTAATAGTCAGAAAGGTGTGTATAAGTATGAAGGTAGGCACTTATATTTAGACAAGCAAGCAGACAAGCGCGATGACGACTTCAAGCTGAAGCGAACTGGAAATGAAGTACGAAGGTGAAAACACCGTTCCTCCAATAGAACTGACTTGATAGAATAGTTAGACATATATACAAGCAGTCACATTTACATATATGCAAATGTACATTGGCGGTTCATTATTATTGATATGAATTAGTGTCAGTAGTACACAATGGTCAACAGGATTAAAACTGATATATGTTATTAACTAGCAGTTAGTTCACAACAAATTAAAGTTTCACACGTAAATTTTTAGCAAAATATGTATCTGTAGTTAATGACTAACAAAAAGCTATCAAGAAATTGAACACACTTTAATAGTATGTAATCGTAGTGAAAATTGGAACTATTTGTAACATTTTAGTGGAGTTTTGTTTTCTGAGCTGGATGGTTTGGTCGTGGAGCTTTCATCGTTCTTCTGAACGACATCATCAGCACAAACTTCAGATAGAAGTGAAGTGTTCGAATTACTCCATATGTGTTCCACAGCTTGTTCTGTGCACCGCGATGTTGATTGGTTCTTATTGACCTTAAATTTGTCGTTGTTTAATTCTTTGTTTTGGTTGTCTCCCATCGGTTTGATTTTTGTTCCTATATTTATGCATGATTTTCCTGATTGGTTGATAAATTGGATTGATTTCAATATGTTTGTTGATTGCTGATTGACCTGAGTGCCAGGTTTCTAAACATTCTCTGGTGTTTTTGGAGTTTCCTCTGTCTAAGATTCCCACATTTTTCCAATCAAATGAGTGTCCGCAGTTGTCCACGTGTATTGATATAAGTGAGGAGATATCATGGCGTCCGACTGCTAATTGATGTTCGTGTAGGCGAAGGTGAAGGGGGCGTCCGCTTTGTCCGATGTAGCGTTTTTCGCAGTTGGCACAATTTATTTTGTAGATGATGCTTGATTTGTTTTCCTTTGTTATTTCATTTTTTGGTTTGCATAGGATTGATTGTAGTGATTTTGTCGGTTTGTGTGCCACACCTATCCCGAAGGTTTTCAGCAGTCTCGTTGCGGTTTCTGCTACTCCTTGTATGTATGGTAGGGTGATCCTTTTGTTGATTTTTCTGCTTGACTTGGGTTCTGACGCTGCGTGCGGTTGGTATTTTTTGATGAAGTTGATTGGGTAGCCGTCCTTTTGAAATACGTTCTTCAGGTATTCCTTTTCATTTTTTCGTGCTGCCAGTGTGTCCTCGCCCTCTTGAACAAAGTGTGTACGCAGTTGATTTTGTGAGCTCTTGGGTTGTTGCTATTGTAGTTGAGGATTTGATCTGTATGGATCGGTTTCCTATATACTTGAGTTTCCAGTTTTCCTGTGGCGGTTCTAGGGATCAGTATATCCAAGAATGATAGTTTGTTGTTTGACTCCTGTTCCATCATGAACTTGATGTCATCGAAAACGTTGTTGATCAGTTTGTAAGTGTTTTCCAGTTCATTCTTTTTGACGATGACGAAAGTGTCGTCTACACAGCGAATCCAAATTTTTGGCTTGATCACTGGTAGTATCGCAGCTTTTAGTCTTTGCATCACTGCCTCTGCGATCAGTCCTGATATTGGTGATCCCATTGGTGTCTCTTTCGTTTGTTCGTAGATTTTGTTATTGAATTGAAAATATGTTGTTAGGCATAAATCGATGAGTTCCAGTAGACTTTGAATTTGAAGCTTCGTGTATTTAGTGAGATTTGTGTCGTTGTTGAGCAGCAGGGATATAGTTTCTTTTGCTAATTTTGGTTCAATTGAGTGAATAGTGCTGTTACTTCGAAGGATATCATCAGTTCGTCGTTGTCGATTTGAATGTCTTTAATTTGGTCCAGGAATTGTGTTGGGGATTTGATGGAGTGTTTGGCTAAATCTACTAAATGTCTCAGTATTCGTGAAATTTCTTTTGACAGATTGTACGTTGGCGTTTCGGGGAGTGCTACAATTGGACGTAGTGGAATGTTTGGTTTGTGTATTTTGGGTCTGCCGTAGAATCGAGGAAGTACTGGTCCATTGGATTTCATTCTCCATTGGTCTTGTTTTGTTATTTCTCGTGCTATGACTAGCTTGTTTAAAGTCTTTGAGAACTGGTTGTCTAATTTCTTGACGGGATTTATATCCATCAGTTTGTATGTGCCAACTGCGAAAAAATGAAAGCATTGGTGAAAATTAAATTCTGAAATTCACAGTTTATTCATTGAAAGATGGTCAATATTGGTAGATCCAATATACTTAATGAATGTTAGAATCATTATTAGTCAGTCAGCTACAATGTAGGACCATATATTATATATATATATATATATATATATATATATATATATATATATATATATATATATGCATCCGTTCAAGTTGCCATACTTCATTTGCACAACAAGATGAACACTAAATCCATAGAAGCAGTTAGTTCAATAATAGCAATATATAAAAGAAAGATCGCATATAAGGATATGATACAGAGAGAAAGAATTAGTTCGTAGAAAGAAAGGTATGGAATAAATTTATTCTCACAGTTTAGGGGAAGACAAAAAGTGTATATACCAACGCCGCTGTGATCGATTCTGCAACATGTCACCCACAGTCTCCAGCCATTAGTTAGAACAGTTGTGCAGACCCCAACCAAGTAGTCTGCATCTATCAACACGGCCCAAGCCAGAAGTTAGTGACTTTATGGACTAATGCCGCGTTTTGGTTTGGCCACCCCTAACACTAAACATTATAGATCACCTTAATTGTTGTGTCTGCAAATAACATAGAGAAGGCTGAATTTTAAAATTATATTTGAAATACAACTTACCAACAACTGATCTTCCACAATTTCATATTCAGAACAAGCTTCTTTTAATTGATCTACCCTTAAATTAGATGGTTGAGAATTATCACAAGAAATTTCTTGTACATTAGACTGTTGTGTTGAATTATCCAGTGTTGTTAAATCAATTATTTCAAATTGTAATGATGGTGTTTGATCATAAGAATAATGAGCTAGAATTAATTGAGATTAAATTGTTTAGGTAAATAACCATAAATAAATAAAACCAAACATTAGTGAGAATAATACCCCCCACACTTCAATTTATTCAATACCAAATGTTGTTCGAATACACTAAAGAATTCTCAGTACATAATTCAAGGCGAAATTTCAAAACTTGTAAATAGACGAAATAATATGCATGTCATTATACCCTCTTTTTATTGATAAATATATTTGATATAGCCATTTTACGGATTAAAATCATGAGTCAATTGAAGCTAGACCACCATGGGAAACCTGGAAGCACTGGACGATCGTTTCGTCCTAGTATGGGACTCCTCAGCAGTGCGTATCCACGACCCCACACCCGAGATTCGAACCCAGGACCTATTAGTCTTGTGCCAAGCGCTTAACCAACTAGACCACTGAGCCGGCATCCAATGGTGTTAATATCTAACCAATGGATGAAGTAGAAAATATATAAGAATCACAGTGATCTCCCAGTTACTAGACTTGTGATAGAGAATGATATGGAATTAGAAAAAGTTAACACAATAAGATTAGATACTGACGACCATATATTATTCTTAAGGTGGTTTAAATAAACAAGTCAGGATCAGTAAATCATTGTAGAACAATGATTTTTTTCTGTTTATCCGTTAACAAAATGGATAAATGGAAGAAAATAGATGTATCGTAGTCATTTTAAGAGCTATATGGATGTACAACTATACGAAGTATTGAATGAGCGGATAATTCAAAGTCCAATATTTGAGTTCCTGTATTGAGTGTGTTATGAAACTTAGAAAACTGAATCATTGAGAATCAAGGAAATTTCGAATTATTTATTTAAAATGTTAAAAATAGTACACAGTTTTTAAGTTGTGTTTTACTATAGATAAATAAATGACTGAAAAAAAGGATGAAATTTCAAAAACTATACCGCAGTGAATTAATAGTTATATTTTCAATTCAGATCACAAACTGATCAATGTTAGACCACTATTGGAAACCTGAAAACACTAGACGTACTTTTCGTCCTACTATAGGACTTCTCATCAGTGCGTATCCATGATCTTGTAAACGTGACTCGAACCTAGCACCTTAGGTCTCGCATGCGTTTTTCATTGGTGGTTCAATATAGATCGGTTCACGATATAAGCTAAAACTCAACAATCTCCACAACCCTCATTTACAATTTATTGTCGTCTTGTAATTAGTTTTATATAATCATGTGAATTTTTAAGTTATATAACTACGATTATACATAGTAAATCAGATGGTTTATCCCTCGTGTTCTGATTAGACAAGTCGAAAACAGAAAGAACTAGTTTGTTCTCATCAATATCAGCGTACTAAATGGGTAATTTTAGTAAAGCGAAATTCATTAGTATCAATCGAAGTAAGCAAGACTCATTATAAATGAATTTAATAATTTGATGATTCTGTCAATTTAGGAAATAAAAGTTGAATTCATAACATCCTCGAACATATGAAATGTAGAATACAAGTACACTGGTGCATAAACTTGTGTTTCATCACTATAGAGTTCATATAATCCATCAATCACCATCAAATGATAACAAAGAAAAACTTGAAGAATTAATGAGTTTTGCCGAAAACGATTATTTAAAAAAATAGTCGAACATTTTAAAACGTCGAATGTTTCTACTTAGCTAGTTGCTTCAATAATTAAATCTATAAAAACACTTATGTAACACATGTACTCATAACAATCACAGCTCTTAATCTTGAAGTAGTGGTCAAATTTGAGCCTGGTGATGAGCCAATTGAGCTATAGTGATTGGAATGCTTGTTCCTACCATGGAGAATGTTACAGTAAAAGCGGGATTCGTGGGGTAAAGCCTTAGTGCTGACTGTACTGCAAGATGTGACCTCAGAAGCACGTTTCCCTCAGGCAGCTAGCACCTTCAGTGATGTTACCTTTTTACAACTGAGTTGTATGGAAAGTCGGCCCTAAAACCAACACATTTCAGACCACCTCATGGGCTTTCATCGCCACTGATATGGCTTTAAAAGTACAGGACTGACACACCAAGAACTAACTGTATAAGGGTCGTGTATGAAGAGTGACTGTCCCTTGAAACTGTGGTCACACTCCCTGGTTGCTGAGACTACCAGTAATCCAGTTTCCTTTTCACAGGCCTCGAGAACACGTACCCACTTAGTGTGGATGACTAGGAATTGATAACTGCTCAAACAACTTTAACAGTACTCGATATTGGTACGTACTCATCCAGATCAGAAACTGTTTAGTGACGATAAAACAGCATTCAGTAAGAACAAAGCTTTTTGTAGTAAGCGTTACGTGTGCTTGATTACAACAACAACAGCAACAAATAATGATGGTAATTACCTCTTTTGGGTGATACACAACTGATATCTGATACAGGAGGTGAATGACGTTTAAGAATTGGAGTTGAAACCTATAAACCAAAAAACGCCTAGTTATTAATGTAGAAAAGACGCATGTTTGTATGCAATAGCTAAACTAAAACAAACCGAAGGGATTTTATTTAAAATGATAGTTGGCAGTAAAACACGAAGACCGATTGCGAAAAATGGAATGCATTATAATTTATAGTAATCAGTTGTTGATGATTATCAACGTAGGATCTTATACAGATGACGATTGATCCTGATTTCTGAACTGTATCAGCACAAACGGCGTAAAGTTGATGAGCAATTTACGTAAACAATTAACATTTTAATAGCATCAGTGATGGTAAAGAGAATAAATAGAAAGACTTTGGGGTTCAACAAGGAAGAGCCAATCCATGGAATGAAAATCATAGTATAATTTTGCAACTTAGGATCTATGAAGATAGACAAAGAATAAATATAACTGCAACAATATGACTGATTTTAAGATATATCACCTAATGTTTCCAAGCGTTTATAACGATTGTCGCACGAACCCCAACCAGATAGACTCCATCTGCTAACACGGTTTCGACTAAACTTCGATGAATTAAAGAGATAATGACACATCTTGACTTGTTCTCCTTTTAAACCCTCCAGTCAATTAACACAATCATTTATTCCCGCAAATTATCGATTTTCACGGTATAGCTAACAATCAGTCCATATATATATTATTTGAGTAGAAAATACTCCCACTTACACAGTTTATTTGTGGTTCATCATTCAATTGGTCATAATCAGTAACAATTTGTGATTGATCAAAATTAAGTCTCGTTTGTGATAAACTACTGATATCCATACCTGATGAATTAAATAAAGTTTTAACTAATACAGCTTTTGTTAAAGCCATTACATAATTTTCATGATGTAATAATAAAGTTCGTTTGTCCGGAGTTAAATTTATATCAACAGATTCTAAAATGTTCATAGAAACAATAACAAAAAGTGAAAATTGCAGTAGAAATAAAAACAAATGAACAGAAAAAAAATACAAAATGAATACAAATATTTCAGTTCGAAGGGTGGTTACATCAGTGATAATATCTCAGACTGAGACGTTGACTGACGCAGGTGTAAATCACACAGGGTGCATAAGTTTATTAAATACTATAGGTAAACATTGTTGACGAGTGTTAGCAAGCACGAAACTTAGCCTCAGGGTGTTTTCTGCCAAACTTCAACCACTTAACATGGAGAGACCAGATTGATGAGATGAGCAGCAAAGAAATCAATAGGAGGCAAGTCAGCTAACATCTCTAACCACTGATTGGGATTAACGCGTGGAAGGGAAAGTTAGACAATTGATTTGACATGTTTTATTACATAAATTCAGCTCTACTAAATTATTTGTTATTGATAGGAATCATGAATTATATTAATCCTTAATAACTTCTGAGTGATTCACATACAGTATGATATTCACATTAAGTTGTCAATTAAACGAAGAAGTAAAACAAATACTTACATTCAGATGTTAAATGGTTGGAGGCAGTTGGTAAGATACCGTGTATATACGTTTTGCGCTAGTTGGTACTCATCATCAGGTGAATTGAACTTTATAGGTAGCAATAATCCCCTCAACACTATACCTTGGCGATAAGTAGCAACGAGTGTCAAACGTAAGCCCAAGGTTTCTCGCCAACCACTTTCGACCACCAAACATCGCAACATAATCTACGAGATATCAAGATACTTCAACAAGTGGACATAATGCAAATCGATTGCTAGCATTCAATTAGTGCTAAAACAATAGACAAATTAATATGCCCACAATCAATATTCAGTAATTAAGTAATTGTACTGACGTGTAGGCATTGTAAATATAAGTATAAGGACTGGAAATGTACTAGTGGTACTTCGACTAGGTAAACTTAGCCCACTAGTTATAGATGAATAAGCTTCTTTGGAACAACGTCGCCATAAATCAGTAGCTAAACGTGTAATTTTTGGCAAGTCACACGGTCGTCCATTGATATAAATAAATTGACGTTCTGATGAAGAATAGCCAATAGATGTCCGACGTTTGTTGGTTAGTGATGGAGATGAATTACCAATCAGTGAAGATGATATATTTGTAGAAGGATCGGGAGATTTACTCACATATCCAGATACTCTGAAACACAATGAGGAATATATACAATTATTATCGTTGTTATTATTACTAAAAGAAACAACGGAATAGAGAAAAATGTAGATCCTAAATAACTATTTTTTAAAAATTCCATTCTCGACTTCTATGTTTAAAAACAACGTTGATTAAACTTAGTAGCTCAGCGGATAATGAGATGTCTGTTTGAAGTGAAAGATTCAAGTCCCAATGTAAATATTAACACTAAGATGCATGTGTAAATCTTGTTAACTAATCGTAAATGGGACGAGACAAGAGTCCTCGATTACACTGGTAAGCATGATCCATCTAATCTGACTAAATCAACCATTTTTTTTAGTGTTATTGAAGAAACATGTAAACTAATGCAAGGAATTATTGCTATAAACTGACTTGATAGAATTTTCAGTAGATAAAGATTTTATATTGAACTCTTCACAAATATCTTCTGGGATAGTATCAATTTGTTCCAATTCAACAAGGTTATCCAACTGAAAATATACCAAAATATATGTATAATAACAAGTGAAGGCAACAGAAATATATGATCCAGAGTATATTATTATTAGTAGTGGTAATAGTTTGAATTATTCCGTTCTTGATATTCAAGACTCAGTTCGAAATTCTAATCGGTCTATAGTGGTATACATATATCCTATACAGGTCACCTCGATAAAGCCATTCTATTACGAGTTTTTTTTCTTCAAGTACCAATGTGAAAATCAGAACTGTAATGTAAATACACTTAGCTGAAAAGCCCAAAATACACTGAAAAAAGTATGGAATGAATTCCACTACCAGACACAATCCATTTATTCAATATATTACAATAGTTATATCATTAAAAATGTACAAACAGTGTAAATGAATTGCCCAAGTTACGAATTTCTAAAGAAGTATCTTAACAATAATCACTAGTTTTCTATGAGTCTTTATTTGATATTAGTCTTTGACATATTGATCTACAACCTGTTTAATCTTTTGAGTGTTTTCATTGAAAAAAAAGACTTATAAACAACTGATTCTGTTTCATGATTGCACTTCATTAAATAGTTACAACCAATTACTAATTGAATTACTGTAAAACTCAAAAAAGTACCATCATAATGATTTATATAGTTTCCTTCTCCTATTGTCTTTTGAAAAGAAGAGAAGTGATTGTTATACGATTAACAAGTCAAATATATTTAGCGATGAAATAAGGTCTTTTGGAAGCCAGAACAGTTGTAAACACTTGTCTATGAATATGAACGAAAACTGTTAAGTATTTAAAAACAACTTCACATAATATCTTTTAAGTATTTCAAATGAGATGGCTACAAAACAGGAATTTTATTATAAGTCTGAATAATTTGTGCTGAGTATTCTCTTTACTGTGATCAAACTATATATAGTGTTGAGTATTGTCATTATTAACTAGAGCTTGTAAGAAGTTTTTAAACAAACTGCATTTGTATGGACGATAATGCTCAGTATTAAAATGATTTTCTGTTAGTTCTACTAAGAAACCGTGACTTTTGCGGTCAATCATATTGAGAATGAATGCTTTATGGAATAAGTCCAATGTTTTAAACTTGATACTTTATGACTAATCTTAAACGATATACAGCTTAATATCCATCTAAACATAACATTATTCACTTCAAACGAATATAAATATGCTAATGCATTATTATTCATGTATAAGTGCGTACCTGTGCATGACCAAATACTGCAGAAATATTATCCTTAAGTGATATAGAAGGTCCATTTGAAATTACACTGACCAACTCACTAAATAGGATAAATAAAACAAAACGAATAAGCCGTATTTTTTTCTACTTCAAGTTTCAACTTATTCGTCAAACATAAATCATTTATGAAGATAGACAAAAAACGATTGTCCAGTATTACAATCCTATTTTTTTAAGTAGTCTTTTGATGGTTATCGAAAGTCATTGAACAACGTAACTAACTCAAAGCAACTAAAATGTAAGGCTGAATGAATAGATATTTTCACATCTGATATTTTACCCTGATTCCCCCTGGAGTTGCTCTAGGAGCTATTATGGGTCCCAACTCCAAGTAAAGGAGTAGTGGACGCATGTTTAGCAACCCCATACTGTAAAAATGAATTTCGCTTCCGAGTTCCAAACCAGGGAAAACAAACTAAACTCGCATCTTATCTTTGTATTCAAAGAGACAGTAATAAACATATTACTACCCTGGTAATTCAATTTTTGTGTTATTAATTTTACTTTGTTCATGTTTAGTTTGTGTTATATTTCTCTCCCATTGCGGAATTCTTAAACCACCCCTTCACTTATACATTTCCACTCGCTTGATTCTCTTAAATTATGTGAACTCTTCAAATTCTATCCGATTATTACGTAATCCATCTCATCAGTTTTTAATTCCATGAATCTTATGTAAACCCTTCATTACCTCTAAAATTATCACATAATTTATCTTATCTGTCTCTGAACTCCACTCAACTATTACATCACTCATTTTTGATTCTAACACCAAATAACCTTTGACCTGTTCTTGCACACATATTTATATAGTTACTATTAATAACCCTTGTCATTCCAATTCTTTACATTCCATACCATATCTTACCTCAATGTAAAATTCTAATACATATTTGGTTGTAAGCAGTTGATGAGAAACCATGACCCAAGAGGGGTAGTAGTATGGTTAAGTAATTTAGTAGGTAAATGTTTTGTCTAGTGCATGTTAACAAATTCAAATATCTCTGCCTAATAGTAAGCTCAATCATAACATTTATCAACCAACAAACAAAAGCACTTCCTTGTATATGCCAATAATTTACGTTGATAAGTAATTGCTGATAGCATGCATAAGTCACAAATAAGGATAGAAGTTTTGCTATGTTACTTCACATTCAGAACTTTATTTTTGCAGTTTGGTCGTACCAATTAGCGTTTAAGTATACAATTCCGAGAAGATATTTAACCAGAAAGGATAATTTTGATGAAAGTGCATTCATTGAGCTGGATGGTATTACAGTGAAATCTACTCATCACCCATCCTGTTAAGTGTGAATCTAACAATTTCTTATCGGAAAAAAATATATACACGAAGTGTACAAAACGACTGACTTTTCGAACTATTCGAATGATCTCAGTCTGCCAGGATGTTTATGAAGATTGATGAAATTTTGACATGGTTATGGAGATTTCGTTTAGATTTCCCACATGTAACCATGCAGACAAGATGTTTGTATGACTGTGCTCGTCTTGTTTTGCTAATGAGATATGGCATTTTGGACCGATGTATATATGGGCCTGGTCCTACGTTGTAGATGACTGACTAACAGACAAATCTATTTATTTTGAATTACTCTATCTATAAAACGTGGTCTACAACGGTAAATAATATCCACTAAAAGTTGGACAAACGATTAAGGTCATTTGAATAAAGAGCTTTTAATAAATCGGTGTGATCTTGAAGAACACTTTTCAGGAATAGGAATTACAACAAAACGTATTGATCAATGGATTTAGAACTTAAGTTATTGAATATGCTCGCAGCAATATGACTTAAAGAAGGCTGATTATTTATCTATCTATTTATTAGATAACGAAATATCCATTGCATTTAATATCAATACATGATGCACGAGATTAATTCAGTTGATTATTATATTAACACCCAACTACATTCGTTACAATCAAAAACAAAGTGTTAGTTGGCAAACACAATGAACAACTTTTTTATTAACAAATCAAAATCTCGACCTACCGGACACAATATGATTGAATATATTATATTATTCAGTTTATGAAACTGGTAATAGGTAGCAAATTAGAAAAAAGACTAATGACAACTTGTGACCTCCCACTAAAGGACTGGGCAAACGGGACATGAATCACTACTCAGCAGTCATACTGGAGACCAGTCACTGCCCAAATAACTTAGTGGTAACGCCTCAAGCTAAGCGTCTGGTTGACATGATATCGAGCAAGACAGGGAATATCAGTTTCCCCAAGACTACATGTGAGCCTTGCTTGTAACTGCCAACTAGCACGAAATCTGGACCGAACAGGGATTTTCTATTGACTACTCTCAACCACCTAACAAAATAAAAACAATGAAATAGTCTTACCCTTTCTTCCCGATACGACTGCATGAGATTTGCACACCAATGGAAACAAGACAATAAGCTGTTAACATGCTGATAACCTTGGCAAATTCTTTTGGTAATCTATTTGGGTCAGTTAAATGACGCCGACGAACGGGTAGATCATGAAATAGTTCATTAACGCACACAGTAGTACCCTGAGATCTTGCTAAACTTCGACGATTTGTTATTTGTCCAGAAGAGTCAAACTCAAGCTTGGTGCCAATTTTAGCATCTAATGCACAGGTATGTATGGTGACTTTTCTAAAAGACGAAGAAATGGATATTTTGTATGGAAGGAGTAATTTATAATTTTCCAGTCAGCAAATTAAAAATCAGTAACTTAAGCAAAGATATTTGATGATGCTTTTTTAAACCAAGAACAAAAGTATATCCTTTTACCCTGACCTCACATATTCAAGCTTTGACTCTAAGACAATAATTCACATGTTAGAGATGCGGGAATGTTACAAACTAGGGTGGCTAACTGAAATAACAGTCGGTAAGTTTTGTGAACTTCCTTTACGAAGAGATATTTAATTTAAAACAAAACAATAAGCACATGCAATTACGAACTATGATAGATTACAGCGAAAAAGGATTTACTCATCTGTTATCTCCAGCATATGAATATCCTTACAAAAATTTCTGTATATTTTGATTATGATCTTACTTTTCACTCACTCTGCTCATACGTTGAAATATTTAACTAATATTACCAATAAATTGATGTGCTTTCGTTTCGAATACCGAGATATAAATTCTATATGATCGATGTGAATTACTTCCAAACCAAATGACGATTGCTTACCAATTCCAATTACTGATACTAGGCTCACAAACGAATTGGTAACAACGGAGTATATAACTATCCAGCAGAAAAAGTTACTTACTATGGTCAAGTATCATATTTGAACACAATATTTAATGAAAAAAATAAAAATAACTGGAATTTTTGTCTCAAAATTAAGGTCTGACTAAAAGGTTCAGTTCTCACACATCACATTAAATGTAATGAATTCCCCTTAATTTCATTATTCTAAGCCTAACGTGAATAAATATTTTGCCAAATTTCCGCAGGAATTGACTCCTCTCTCGACCATAGCTGCTAACTTAGCGTGGTAGTTGGGTTTCCATATCATGATGACTCGACCGAGATATAGTGGCTGGAACACATGTTCCTTTAGGTCCTAATATGCCAAGCAGGTTGGTTGAAGAACGGTAAAACTAAAAGCCCCAACCCCAGGCCCGAGGGAGAATTCGTACTGTTGACTGTAGAGAACTGTGACAGCAACAACGTGTTTTCCTCGAACAACCGGCATCTGAAGCAATGCTACCTCCTCACAACGGAATGAAGGCGTTAGGAATGGTCGATGCGAGGAATGTCACACATCGCCTTATCTCATGAATTCCAATCTCCGGTGGTAAGTTCTTTTGATGTGCGGAGCAAACGCATCAAAATCTTCTCAAGAAAGGCCTTACGCGATCAGCCTCAAACAGTTGTCCCTTAGGCTCTGTGCTCATGCTCACAAATCGCTAAGACCGCCAGCTTCTGTTTCAGGTCACTCAAGAAGTAATTTCCTCCCATATTGCAGGGCAACTGGCCGGTAACAGTTACCCTCATATCTTCATCAGCACCCGACATCATCTTGTTGACGATTTAATCTCTACCTCGCCTCTAAATTATTCTTTCATCCACACGGTTAACCCTTAAAAATTTTTATCATCACACCACACTAACGATAATGATTTGAGTTCACAGAATATTATTCCTGGTCTCCTGAAATCAAGCTCTAAATTACATGTTGGATGTTTTAATGTTCGAAAATTGTATTAGATAAAAAAGGCTTCGTCAGCTAAAACTTGAAGATACTGCATCACCAATGTATGCTAATTCTCCAAAACGTGCATACAGGATTCAAGTACGGTCGTTTATTTGACCTTACCTTGTCAGCAAAGAGAACCGGCACGGTTTACCCTTCGAGTATCTGGAAACACCACCACTAGTTCCCACAGCCTCACTGGTGTGGATATGGCATTAACTTCTAAAGCAGAACAGGCCGTTACTTTAGAATCAAATAGATTGTCGCTTGCGCACCGTTTGACAAAACGGGACAGTGAGAACTCAAATGAATAAGGACACACGCCGTTGTCATTCCATTGTTTCTGCTTACGCAATGGTCGTAAACAGTAGCGGGCAGCGAAAGCAAGAGAGATGGAAAAGGCAGCGGCGATAGGTAACAGCAGACAACTGTTCAGACTTGTCAGGGAAACCGGTATTAGGAACCCAACTGTTAGCGAAACTATCTCGGAAAAAGATGGACATATTATTCATTCTCAATCCACGAGATTGGATAGATGAGCAGAACACTTTAGGGGTCAGTCCAACTGGCCCTCAGCCACACTTCGGTTTCCCATTATCTCCAGTCGACCTGAATGGCAAGTTGATGTAAGTCCTTCAACTCTTTACGAAGTTGAAAAAGCTATAGAAAATATGAAGCGTGGGAAAGCAGCAGGCCTTGGCAGGTTTACTCCAGAAAGTTTTAAGGATGGCGGTCCAGTATCAGCGATGAGATTGACTGAGGTCTTAGGTAGAATCTAGCACTGGACGTAATCCCATCTGACTAGTCTCAATCATTGATTGTGCCAGTCCATAAAGAAAGGACAAAAGTCCTCTTATAAAAATCACATAGGAATCAGTTTGACTAATATAGTATCTAAAATGTTAGCTTCAATAATGCTTCAACGTCTAATGTTATATCCCGATGAGAATAATGAACGGTAACTTTTGGGATCCATTTATGGACCAATATTAAATATATATTTTTATCATATAATTGTTAAGTGTCTAAACTATTCATATTCATGTCGCTCATATTATGAGCTTTATTTTGACCTATGAACTGTTATTATACGATTTGCCATTCTTGAGTTATACCTAGTTTATCAATTACTACCTCCCACATTTACAGTCACTTTTGGCTAAATCATGTACAAATTTTGTTTCCTGTTTTATGGTACGATGTGATCTGTCTGGTTGGTATATTAACCCAGAATGTTTGAAATAAATGATTCATATCGCAGTGGCTGAGATTGATGTTCTGGACTTAACAGGCAGGGCTACGCAAGGAGCAGGATCGATAAGGAGTGTAGACTGCTCACACGGATTTTATGCATCATAGGTTCGGTCGATAAGTCACTGCTCTCTAATTAACAGTATCATTACGTTATACATTAACAGGATACACAGGTCACAAGTTATAACATAGATGATCTAAAATCATTGATGAGAATGGTTAAAAGCTATCGTTCTAGATATAGCAAGAAGTGAAAATGATATCCACCACGAGGTAGCTTGGCATGATACTCAAAAGGCTGTAGAAACAGCAGTGATATCTGTTAGTAACTTAAATCGAGAGGATAGGAAAAGTCAGTGTATTTTAGCGGCGTCTACAGAACTGACAGATACTAGGGAACTTATTGCGTCGGTTTCAGAATACGATGAGGAGCGGAGGTAGCTTAAACATAAGCTGATAAAAATCCCACATAATAATTGTGAGCAGTGCTGGGTAGTGAAAGCAGAAGAAATGGGAAAGACAACAGTAGTAGGTAACTACAGACAACTATTCAGACTTATCAAGGAAACGGGTTAATAATGAAGCTATATCGGAAAAAGACGGGACTATTACTCATTCTCAATCCAAAAGATTGAACTTATGGGCAGGACACTTTAGGGAACAATCCAACTGGCCTTCAGTCACACTTCACAGCTACCCACTATCTCCAAGCAACTTGAATAGCAAACTGATGTAAGTCCTCTAACTTTTAGTGGGGCTGAAAAGACTATAAGTAATCTAGGGCGAGGGAGAGCAATAAGGCCTGGTGGACTAAACCCTGAAATTTTCGAGGATGGTGGCGGAGTTTTAGCAGTTAGATTAACTGGGATCTTAGATAGGATCTGGGGAGTAAATGAGATGCCACCTGCTGGCCTCAATCGCTGATCGTTTCAGTCTATAAAAAAGCACGAAAATCCTCTTAAGGCAATGACAGAGAAACCAGATTAACTAATATGGTATCCGTTGGTGGAATTTTGTTCTCTGGGCTGGATAGTTTGGTCGTGGAGCTTTCACCGTTCTTCTGAACATCATCGGTACAAGCTTAAAGTATACAGTGTCGAAAATATTAACCACAATAATGATTCAACGTCTAACTAGAGCTTTTGAAGAGCAAGTCAGGCTGGTTTCAAATCAGGACGTCGGGGTAAAGACTAGATATCCACCCTTCGGCAGATTTTGGACATAAATATACCTTTCGACATCCGGCTACAGTTATATTTCATGACCTTAGGGCAGCATTCGACTCCATCGGTCAGTCGAGTCAGAGCTTATGGCGAAGTTTAATTGGAATTGTTTATTCCAAGTGGTGTTCGTCAGGGTTGTCAGCTTCCCCCGTTTCTATTTAACTTTGTTATAAACATGCTTTTAGAGATAACACCCTCATTGTCTGAATTCTCAGGTATTCATCTACTACAAGAAGATTTACTTGTTCAGCTAGAACAATCAGGTGATATAGTTTTATTCAGTAAAGATGCTGACAAAATAGTCTTCTGAACACCTTAAGCAACAATCCAAGCATGTGTGGGATGCGGTTCTTCCACTCCAAATACAAAATATTATTTCGGGGTTGGCTTGCGTCATCGCCTGAATTATTGGTAGGGACTGAAGTAGTTGAACGCATCGACCGTTTCACTTATCTTGGGAGTCTCATCAGTGCTGATGGTCTGGAGTTCGGAGAAATCTCGGCGCCGATCCAGAAGTCTCGATTAACCTTGCCAAATTGCGTCGCTTGCGGTGTAAGCCAGATACCCGTCTTCCAACCAAAGGGCCAGTTTAATGCGGAGTAGTTCGCCCCATTTTTCTTTAGGGATGTGGAACATGCCCATTAAGAGTGGACGATACTTGTAGGTTACTAGTATTCCATTATAGGTGTCTAAGAAGTGTTGTTCGTGTAGTTTGTAACAACAGAGTAAGCAATGTCTGAGCTTGAAATATGGTACTACGTGAAGATGGCAAATCGATTGATCAGGTAGTAAATCGACATCAATTCAGGTGATTCGAATACGTGTTATGCATACCAAACCACCGACTACCACGACAGGAGATGTTTTGTAGTACAGGAATGGGCTATAAGAAAGCAACGGACAGCCAAACCAAAGCATGATACCAGTCCATGAAGCCACTGACATTTCGTCTTGGTCATCTTTATAAGTATAGGCTATCTGGTTGGAGTTCGCGTGATCACCGTACCCAATGGTTAAAGACTTTGGATGACACTGCCCGAAATAGTTTGCAATAGCACAGGTGCATCCACCCTTTGTCTTCACCTAAGTTCTGAGATTCAAATTCCTCACAACTTTTTCTTGTTTTTATTTAATTAATTTATAATTTTTTTTCGAGTCGTACCTTCGATGCGTAATCTTTCCAGTTATCACTAATACTGTTACGATATCTACTATTGTAGGGCTCGGCCTGACAACTTCATCTTTCTGTGCTAATGTGGTAAGGCAACTTGAAAAGATATGCATACGTACAGGATCTACACTGTGACTGAATGATGAATTGTTCATATTATTCATCGACTTGAAAAATCAATCATACATTACAAAGCGTTAAGTCAGTCACAAGTAACATTAAACCTAGCACATATGTGGATTTGCTCACGTCCTAACAACATATCAACACACAGATGAAATTATCACGACAAATGATAGAATAGAGTAGAAATAATAAGAATATCAGTAGATGCATCAAAAATAAGGTGCCACTGAGACCAAATTAGATTTACCCACTTCTACCCTTACAACATCATTGTACATCGATGTAAGCGGTGGTCGAGCATATGTAACACATGTCTGTGTTCGAAGATTCAGAACTTCACTAATCAATGTGCCATTTTACCTAGTGACCTTATGCTTTAACCTTAATATTGTTCTCTCGGTAGTGCTAAAATATACGAATAATGAACCGAAGTCATCTACGGTCAAATAGTAGTAACCGCGGAATTTCCTTAACATTTAAGAGCCAAGTTTAGTTAGTTGGAAACACTGGTCATGGAAGACTCGTTTCGACAAAACACGAATAAGTAAAATGATAAAGTCATAAAGGATTTAGAATCTCAGAACTTAGGTGAAGACAAAGGATGGATGCACTTGTGCTATTGCAAACTTTTTCGGGCAGTGTCATCCAAAGTCTAACCATTGGCTACGGTGATCACGAGAACTTTACCCAGGTAGTCTATACCTATAAAGATGGCCAAGACGAAGTGTCAGTGGCCTCATGGACTGGTATCATGCTTTGGTTTGACTGCCCGTAGCCTTCCCACAGCTCACTACTGGATCATAAAACATCTTTTTGGTGGAGTTTTGTTCTCTGAGCTGGATGGTTTGGTCGTGGAGCTTTCATCGTTCTTCTGAACGACATCATCAGCACAAACTTCAGATAGAAGTGAAGTGTTCGAATTACTCCATATGTGTTTCACAGCTTGTTCTGTGCACCGCGATGTTGATTGGTTCTTGTTGACCTTAAATTTATCATTGTTTACTTCTTTGTTTTGGTTGTCTCCCATCGGTTTGATTTTTGTTCCTATATTCGTGCATGATTTTTCTGATTGGTTGATAAATTGGATTGATTTCAATATGTTTGTTGATTGCTGATTGACCTGAGTGCCAAGCTTCTAAAAATTCTCTAGTGTTTTTGGAGTTTCCTCTGTCTAAGATTCCCACATTTTTCCAATCGAATGAGTGTCCGCAGTTGTCCACGTGCATTGATATAAGTGAAGAGATATCATGGCGTTTGACTGCTAATTGATGTTCATGTAGGCGTAGGTGGAGGGGGCGTCCGCTTTGTCCGATGTAGTGTTTGTCGCAGTTGGTACAATTTATTTTGTAGATGATGTTTGATTTGTTTTCCTTTGTTATTTCATCTTTTGGTTTGCATAGGATCATTACAATCAATCCTACGTCGTGACTGACTGATTGACTGAATGAACGGAAGATTGGTTTGTGAAACAAATAATCAGTAGGAAGTATTTCTCCCGCAAACACATTTCACATTTTATTTATTTTATTTATTTGAACACATGAATATTGGTATGTGTTCAAATAAAAAATAAAAATAAAAAAGTAAATTGTGAAATGTGTTTACAGAAGAAATACTTCCTACTGATTAGTTGTGCACCCCAATGCCCTGGTACGGCCGAGAGTGGGGTGGTCTCGCCCCACCACTCGAAATGCTCTCATACGGCCACGCATGTACAGCCTCTGTCAAGGAAGTCCTACTCACTGCCTTCTCGTTGCACCGGTGTTGTTTACGAAAATGAGAGAATGAAAATCGAATGTCCGACGCTTTAACCGGATCCCAAACTAATGGTGCACATAAGCTCCAGTATCCTGAAGGAACAAATGGCGTATGAACCAATCGTTGGTCACCGGTTACCATGGGACTGCATCTCCTCACGATGCTCCACTGCCTTGTGGGTTAGACATTCAGGTCAAATGCTCGGGGTGTGGTCTCCTAAGAAAACCATCTGCTTCGGTCTGGGCACCCGGGCAGTATCACAGCCTACACATAAATATGATGAAATGTCGATATTTATGAAAAGCACATTTCACAACGTATTTATGTATACTCTAGATGGGAAAAATAAAGGATAGTCAACACAATCTTAATTTATATTCGAAATAGCTTATTAGTGAACTACTTGGGTGTACACGATGTACATAACTAGGATGCCGTCGAGGAAGATTTCAAAAATCTGATTTAGGATACGTTTAACAGTAAATAATAACACAACTCATTCACGACGAATAGGTATTTGTGATCTGCTTGGGATACATTTTCATGTGACGGCTAGTATCAATACTTGAATGCACAAACCAAACAGGATGGGCCAGGGTTTGAACCTACGATTTGATGGTTAAAATTAGGTACCTCTAAGTCAGCACTCTGTAATTATCTTATTTCTGTTATTCTAACATGGAATGATGATAATTTGTAAGAATGAAAAAAAGGAATAAGAACTAACTTACGCTAAATGACAGAGAGAAGAAAGAGCTTCCCCACGAAAGCCGTAGGTTTCAACACAACTCAGATCATCAAAGGTGCTTAGTTTTGAAGTGCAATATTTCCCAGCTAAATAATATGACTTAAAGCAATTTTGAACTTACTGAGACCCTCAAAATCTTCTTCTCTTATTCCGACACCGTTATCAATTACCTCGATGGACTCACTGCCATGACCTCGTAACCGGATTTCTACGATTGAAATGTTTACGAAGAAAATAGGCAAACCTATTTTAGAAGACTTTGCGTCAATACTATTTTCCAGGAGCTCTTTTACAGCAGAAGCTAGAGTTACTACGACCTGACCAGAACATATTTTGTGGACCAGATTTTTATCCAGTCGCGAAATAGTAGATATGTCTCCGTCCATTGAATCCATGCTGTCAAGCTTAGTATTAAATGATCGGTAGCTTCATGCAAACTGATTCAGTTATAAAAATAGGTAATGGGTCACTTCGACAGTAAGCTAAAGAAAAGAAGGAACAAAAAAGACTTTTTACCAGTAGGTCGACTAAACAGAGCTTATATGAATGAGACTTACCGACCGATACCTCTTCGTGCACAACGTTTAGATATTGAAATTTTAGGCACTAAGCTATAAGCCTCAAACGCTTCATCTGAGTTCTGTTTTATCAATCAGTTATTTCTTCCACCCATTACTTATGGATACATGTTAAGCTTTGATATGTGATTACCACGGTGAAATACTTCCATTTTTAACCTACACTTGATTATGCTGAGTGTCAATCAAGTACCCTTTGAATGAACAATTTCCCGTCAAATTATTTCAAATTAGCGAGAGATTACAAAAATATGGGTTGCAATTAAAATTTTAAAGATTTCGTAAACCAGACGTGCGAAATCACTGCCAAATATTAATGACATTTATTTGACTGCAGAAGCCAAAATATATCTTGAATAACGGATCACTAATTACAAAAAGTTGTAAATGAGATACATTGGTTTACAAGTATGTTATACGTTGGTTTCAAACCAATGACTACGATGTTCTCTCAGTTTTTACAGAGAACGTCGACGGCTATTTACTGCCGAAAGCCAGTTTTATTGAGAGTTATAAGTGGATATTTAAGGGTATACCCCGTTAAGACATAAACCCAAAGCTTTAATGCTTCACAGTTGTTATTTATTAATTTACTAGTTTGAACAGCTTACTTTCAGTACCAGAGTTAGCAAACATTAAGAAATCTCAAATCATTAAATGCTCAGCAGCAGGATTATCAAGCTAATTGTAGTACATTTTGAGGAAGGAACAACCTACTGATGTGATGGTTTTTTTAAACAACGTAATCTTGGTTTCATTCTTGTCAAATGAGTATATGGGTAACAATTGTGTGCCGATCTATGATGCATATTTGCACTAAAAGGCCAACCTTATTCTAAATACGCGTTTTTCACAAACTACATAATATTCGAAAGAGAAATTTTTGATCAGAATTTACAAAGTGAACATGTTTTGAAAAACATCGACCATTGGTTAGTTTCACATATGTATACGATTAATCTTAAAGACTGATGGTATAAAAGTGGGTCATATATACGAGTTTAAATAACTAATCCTTAGTGACAACTGTTTCAATGAGAAGGTAGACGGTCTGAGGTATTTGACTTAAACCTTAAAACAAACCGTTACACAACATCGAAACATACCATTTTGTAGTTTGTGCTAAAATTAAGTTTGCCTGCCTTTAAAATAGATCTTAATACTTTGTTATCGTATTCAAAAACCAAACTGTTGTATTTTTTCAACTGGAAACTATACATGAAGTTGAACCTCTCTCCGGATAAATGCTAAACCTTTAATGTAGCTGTCGTAGTATCCAAAAAGACATTGGTCAAATGCCCTGCAAAAAAGCATCTAACAAACTTACTTTATTCACTGAAATAATACGTGAGGAAGATAGTGGCCAAAGTAACACCTTCCTCAAATTATCGCTTTTTGAACTTCCAATATCCAATATATTTCACCACAGACATTATATGTCCGAGTCTTATTGACGAATTATCGTTGATCAATTGATTTATTGAGCTCTCTAATTTTAAAGAAAGGTTCTAAATTATTGATATTGTCTATTATGGACAATGAAGCTAACTGACCTTATAACTCTAGTGAATCCGACAGTCGATGTAAATATTATCGTGACCACAAATATTAATATAGAGCACCAGGGTTGCGAAAGCTGGGAGCTTTTATGTTTTAGGGAGTTCAGCTGGTAAGTTGCTGTATGAGAGACCTAAGAAGCAGAATAAAAACAAGCAGAGGAAATAGAAGTGCCAAGGCAAATAAAGAAATAGGACACCATTACCAATTAGTTAGAAAGTGGTGTAACAAGTAGCTAGACGAGTACATATGGACGGCAGATGGAAAAAACATGATAATAGATATGTTGTTATGCGGGATCTTTTTAGCTGGAGGCTCTCGGTCATGCATCGGCACCAGACCGCAAGTGAGAACGCCGTGATCAACTCCCCTGCAATCGCTGGCCGGATTAGATCGGTCGATTCTCGATATATTGATAACCAAGCAAATATATTTTGACTTCACTTGGTGAGCACGGTTCATAACAAATGTTACTGGTAAACACGTTGTCAAACTCCAAATACCTGTGGCATCGTCACCTGCATCCCTGTTCTGTTGATTGATGTGGATAGTTGGTGAAACGTACTCGAACGCAAATTAAAGTTGTGCGCATTGTACCCCTGTTTCTCGAAAGCCTATGAGAGAATATTTCGTCTCTTTTTTTACTAATAAGTCCGAGTTGATCTATATCAGGTCACCACTGCCATGATAGTTTATGTCAGATGTAATCAAATGACGTTGTAATATTGGTTTGGACTTTGCTCTTTCTAGGGCTACAGAATGACCCCTTATGGTCCTTCAGGGTTTAGTATTAGGATATCTTCCCCTTCTGGTTTTGCAAATGTGTTTTCCCATCAAGTATCATTTGTAGTATAACTCTTTGCAGATGTCGAGTTTTGAAGAGAAATTGATAAAAGCGGGATTGTAGAATTATAGTCTACTATGATATTAGTACTGCTCTTATAATAGACCTTATCCTAAAATTGTAGACTTTTTATTATATAACTACCTAATCGATGAGATCTTACGTGGAAGTCACATCATCGTCTACACCAACTCACTGTATCGTAACAATTGCCAATACATGATGGAGAACAAGCTTAGGCTGTAGAAAGAACAATATATTTAATATGAATAAAAGATATGAGGTGACATTTAACAAGGACCACGCCTGAAAAGTCCAGCCATGCCAGTCGATCAACTTTAATTCATTCAACCACTTGTTCCCTCCTTCATCGTTAGGTGTTTCTCCGCGTTAAATATTGAATATCTCTTTTTCGAGTAGTCTCGCGTTCAGCTTTGAGGATTGTGTGGTTGTAGTCCAGTGCCACTACAGGATAATAAGCTATAAATGCAGGACAGTCTATCAATAATGGATTAACTTTCAATAGATCATAGGTTTATTTAGTCTGTTTGAGACAAGTAACAACGTAGGCGGCCCTCTTCAGAGTTATATCAGGTGGTGAAACATAAACGTGTTGCAGTACGTTAGCAATAATGAAGGGCGTTTTTGATCAGTTTTGCAGAATTTTATACCTAACTTTTAACTTAACTTTATCTCCATTTATAATTTTTCCCTCTTCCCTACATAGGGGTAATAATACACTAGAACAGATCCAAAATAAGGCAACAAATTCATTTCGAGAATTTAAATTCAAACCTCATTAAGAGCGTCTCAAACCACCTGATGCTTACCCAATACACAATGGACGACTTAGGAGGGACCATTTTAGTACGTATAGGATAATGAATGCTTCTTAAAATCCTTTTGAACTTATTGCTCGCTGATATGCTCTAAGTAACCTGCTCAGTGTTTTTTAATAGGAAACTCGACATATTCTGAAGGATTCTGGACAGTATTTGATTCGTACTCACTAACATGTCACTTCTTCTTTTTTATTATACCTAGATTAAAACCCGTAAACATTAATGACTCATTGCTTCTAGACACAGCATTCCATTTCGTGAAAAATTCTTTAAATTCCTTTACAACCATTTGAACCATTTAAAAAAGTGGTTTGAATTCTTCAGAGATCCATATGTCTTGCTTAACCTTGATATTACCTTGTAAAGGCGGGCCCTTTGGTTCTTTATCTTTTAAGATGGCCTCAAGAGTTTAGTGGATAGTATTCATAGAGAATGATTCAGTTGAAATTATCCGATAGCGACATATGTGAAAGACGAAAGGCACAGTTAAAGGAATGGTGTGGTTCAGAGACTGATCATGCGTCGTCAAAAATGAGGGAGCCGGAGAAAATCAAGTTTCCATTATCGGTTCAGCTACTTGCCGCATGTAGTAACAGTGATTTGGACGAATTTTCTCGTTTACTTAAGCTTGGAACGGACATTAACACGCAAAATGCTGATGGATTAACCAGCACACACTTAGTATGTCGTGGTTTTCTTCAAACCTCTCTTACTATAAGGCTTGTATCAATGTCGACTTTGATTTTTTAAAGTTCCTTATCAGAAATGGTGCGGATATCAATCTACAGGATCACGAAGGTTGGACTCCTTTGCATGCAGCAGCTTCTGTGGGCTGCTGTGAACTAGCCAGGTTAGTATTCCATGTGTTAGTCGATAACTAGCATTAGGTTTTGATCTGAATTTGTGTCCACAAGCAGTTACATTTTTGCTTTTATAGTTTGCGCTCTAGGTACCGCCAGAGTTCTGCATATGTAATAGCGTAATGGTTTGGACTGACACACATTTCGTTTTATGATATACGGGTCCTAGATTAAACCATTACTCGATCCAGTCATTAGTTATTTTGCCGAGACTATAATTTATGGACGACCTTTGAACGAATCGTAAGTAACCTTTGGAAATATTAGTTAATCACTAAGCAGTCAGCATGGAGTAAAATATATTATACAAAACCAAAGAAATAAAGTGGATGCACTTATTGTGCATGGTTAAGAAACTTTACAAGGTTAGAAAGAGATTCAGAGGTTCTAAAATCCTAATGCATGCAGCAGAGGAAATCACCCACATGGCTACAAAATAGTCGGCCACTGGAGCCATGATAAATACGCAAAAACTTCCAGCCTCGACCACAAAGCCTCAACATTGTTTGTGTGTACTCCGGTTGTTGAGTACGCAAAATGCCACTTATGGATAACGTCACGATATACATAACCAAGTCTGTGTAGGAGTCTGTACGCTCTCCAATCATTCGTATGTATTGTATTACCTACTCGCAACAAGTGTTACTGGCGCTTTCATTATCCAGTTCGCAATAATTGTCATAATTTGCCTTAGTTAGGAATTATATATAGAGTTTTCATCACGAACTGACGTCAGCTATAATGCCAAAACTCTATTTAGCCAAATGGGAGTAAGATCTTTGCGCCAAAATCCGAGGTCTGTTATCTTATACCCGATTGGTTCGTCCACAAATTATAGTCTAGCCGTTTAATGTGTTATAGGCGCTCAGTTATCACGTTTTGTATAAAATTCCCTGTGAACCGATCGTACGTTTGCACTAAGTTCTGAAGTTGTTGCTGTTACCTTGGGATCCCTCAAACGCTTCTGATTGGCTCGTCCACAAATTATAGTTTTGCCGTTATTTTATTTAGTAATTTCAATCATGTGTGTTCTCACCATATGGGTTATACGGATTGGGACACTACACATGTTTTTGATGGTTTGCAGTAGACTACGTATTTGTTGTGCTGTTTCAATGTAAAGTTAAACATTACTTGTAGTTTTCACTTGCTGGGAATTTACTTTCGCCTGTTCCAGTGTCTCATCATTTCCTTAATGGACATAAGGAAATGCAGGTTTAAAAACGAGTTTATTATTAAGATATGGAGTAGCTTTTCGTTCATCACCAATAAGCCCCGTCATATGTATTATCCGAGATTTCAGAAACAACTTTATATGTCAGGCGGCATTCGTGCTTTGGATTGTCAATATAATGTGTATTTCGTGCTAAATGACTGCAAGTGCCAAATTTAAGTGCAGTTTCACGTATAGACTATCTACTTTTGTAGTTAGTGATTTTTATTGTTTAATGGTTCATCGTTAACCTAGGGTAAGGATAGAGATTTGTCGATAAATGCCAACTTTAATGCTTCACTATAGACTTATGTTTTGAGCCACCAGTTGGATTTTTTTCAAACCAAAAAGAAAGAACGTTACATGTTGGGTTAAGCAGTCTAGTTACAGCTATCAGCACTGACGTTTTTCTGCAAACGTTTTCATACTTTCGGATTTTTTTGAGTATGATTTTTGCAAAACTCATAGGTCTTGCAAGTACAGAGCAATCTTTTTGTCACCATTTTTGATATCGTTCCTTATGATTCATTTTGACCGACCTCATTTTAGGACCTATTAAGAAGTATAGACTGCCGTTTTTAACAGTTGCTAATGTATTTTGTCTTTTACTTTATCTCCGAAACCCCGTCACCCCGTCTTGTATTTTCCTAGTCTGTATTCAAACCAAAGTAATCTCAACTTAGTGTAGCTAGGTGGACTGATAATTTTTTAGTGATTGACCAAACATATGTTGGGGGCTTATGGTGATGCATGCAATTATGTTACTGAATTTCCCACTGAGTCCTAGTGATCTATTCTGCGATACTGAACAAATGATGAATTCTACATTTCCCTGTGAGTCGATTAATCTCAGATAATTTACTCTGATCAGGTATTGTAGGGGAGAAATAAAAGTAGCTAAAATAAGTAACTATAGGATTTCTCGATGATTACACATAGTAGCTAGTTCGTTAAAAGCGAACGTTTTATCAATCGGTCAGCAACGTTATCTGTTAAGTGTTTCGAGGTGTAAAATGTTAGTAAAAATTTCACCGAGTAAAGTGGGCTAGTGGCACGCTTCTAGGAATGGTAATTCAGTATAATGGTATGTTGTGGTATTATGGTTTTTATCAGATTGTTCTCATTTCTTGCTGCACTTTTTGAAACTAATAGCATCTCAATGTAAATACTCCTTTATTGTCTAACATACTCCTGCGGATAGCAAATCTGTGTGAACCAGGCATGTTTCTACCTTGTGCATGTCATACTTATAGACTGGGACTATACACTAATTACATTTATTGATCGATGGTCAGCATCGATCAACTGCTTGTTTGATCGATTTCAGTGAAGTGTTTTAAACAGGCTCATCTTATTAATGAGGGTTCTTCTCTGGATTTAACTGTCAAGTGACCCAATGTCATTCATTCATAACTAATGTAGGATCTGTCACGGAAGATCATCCCAGGTTTCTGCATCACAGCAGCTCATCACGATAAACTTAGAGAGACTCGTAACAAGAGCTGAAGTTATAATAAGATGTAGGATAGTGAAAAAGAGTAAGATTAAACAATGAAAAGTTTGAAACCGTGAAAGCCACTGTCTAGAGAAAAATTAAGAACCTACACATCTTCACCAATGTGGCAGATTCTGATTAGTATCATGCAAAGTCTTTAACAATTGATTACATTTACCACGAGTAGCTTAAGGAGGTAGCTTGCATCTTTAAGCATGGCTCAGATCAACAGTCTATGACCTCATGGATAGACTTCATGTCTTGGTTTGCCCACCCTAGCATTGCTCAAAAATAAGTCATGTAGATAGCTAACATCTATGTTCCATAAGTTGAGATATCGATCAACTATAAGCATTTATTTTTATTCATTTTTTAACGAACTTCCGTCTCGCAGTAACTTCGTACATGAATTTCACTCTTGAGATAAATCTGAAGGAATGTCAACGATGTATGTGATACTAGATTAAATTGATTTCATTGGATTTTGCTCATTTTATAGTTTGCACTAATTAATGGGTGTAAAATCTGCTCTAGATCGGCGGTCAGAGCACCAGACTTTCAGCTGCTGTGATTCAAATTAGAACGACATTTACCTACTTCACTTTTAAATGACAGTTGCTATAATCTACTTTTATGCCTGAATATCGGCTCAAAATCGAGTGCATAAGCTCGTTTTTTTTTTACTGAGAAACGTATCAAATGTCGGATAATCAGTCAGGCAAATAAATTCACACAAATACACAACAATAAAATACGTTGAATTTTGCAATTCTCTAACCACACTGAGTTCATTGTCTGCAATCCCTACGGTCCTGTTTATATTTCCACCACTTATTCAGTGGTTTTGGAGGATTCGAGTGTCATTGATGACCCAGTATCATCAACATTTTCTTGTTTGAAAGAAATAATGATAATATTCTTATAAAATGTTTTCCTACCCATTTTTATAGACCTTTTTTTCACACATCTAAATTTAGGCTAAACGTGTTGTTCAATCTTCTATACTCTGTCCTTCGCATGTTGAAAAATGTGCCTTAGACAACATTATTCAGCTTCGCTTTCTTATGTTTTCACAAAGTTTCAGTTAGTAATAGGCAACGTGGAATGTGTAGTATGTCTGGGTTGGTTCAAGGTTCCACATCATATCAACGCAGAAAGCTGTAATTATCAAGACAAACATCAGTAGTACAAGTAATGGCATCGATAAGGGTAGGGAAGATTAGGTATAGACAATATAATTTAAAAGGAAAGAATTAAATTGTAGGATAAAGAGTGAATCTGACCAATTTGAAGTCATATCATTCAATGTCTCTGACCGTTGATTAAGGTAATCGTGCTGATGCTAAACAAGTAGTCTGGACTTACCTATACGACTCAATCTGGGTAGACGGTTATAAAGCCTCACTGGGTTTCTGTTAGTCAAAGTTAACACAAATTCCTACTGTTTCGAGCTTTAGTTCATTTCAGCGTTTTAAAAAGTGTAACAAATATCACAAAATTCATGTAAATTATCACTTTAAAAGATTTTTTCATGAAAATCATTTCTAGTAGTAACGTTTTTTTGTTCGGTATATTTACAAAACACAACATTCGTCCTTTAAATATTAATGTTTTAGACATATTTACATCATGCATTGAGATAATTATTAAATTTCTTCGACGAACTCAGGTATAGGATTCATTTAACTATTTTACAGGCCGTAAAAGTATGTAGCGAAATTTATGAAGTTCTGGAAATTTCCATGTGATTTTGTATTGATTGATGACTTGATTTGGATTTTGAAATCACTGAACTATCATTTCTAAAAGCCAGTGAAAGCAATTCATTAAGAACCACTGTTTATCATTACTTTTTTCAACACCTTTCTCGACTTTATCAAATAAGATTATCAATATTTTATTCAACCTTGACATAATAAGGGTAGCTCTTCGATGCTAATATCTATTGAATCTCTAGAAGAACTGTTCATCAGAATTTTCCTTGTAATTACTTTATATTTACAGTTGTTCGTAAAAATATGCTACTTACCTTTTTAGACTATCATGTTAGTACTGGTTTTATAGCTTTCACTTTCTTTGATTTGTATTGGTGACACTTGAAAGTAAAATTTCTGTTACTACTTCTACTAATAATACAGAATCGAATGGAGTATAGAAATCTTTTCTACTTCTTTTTTGCAAATGGCTCAACGTTGGAAAACCTCTGTTGTATTAGATTTGACTTTTGCTTTCTTTTAACTGTATGCATTTTAAATTAAACGTAAGATTATAGTGTTCTAGTA